TTTATTCATTAATTAAATGAATCAAAAGAAGAAATATAAGAATAGAAAAAAATTATATAAGAATTAAAAAAACAAGTAATCTAAAGTGATGAATAAGCAAATGCATATAAAAATAAATATTTTAAAGTTAAATAAACCCAAAAAACATTATAATCAGAATAAAAATATGTAATTTTTATTTTTATCATATTTTAGTTAGAAGAGAAAGTTAAATTGATGGAAAGTGAAAGAATTTTTGAAGAAAAGGAAGCATTAAAAACTAAAGATCACGTTATTTAGTAGAAATAAGTTTAGTAAAGTAAAATTAGAGTACTAGATGAAATTTAAAATATGATCAAGCAACATAAAAATATTACAAGCTGATTATTTAAAATTAAACTTCTTAATAATTTAATATAAATATTATTAAACTTCTAATTAATCTATTTCTAAATAATCAAAATTTAATCCGAAAAAGAAAAAATGATCATAAAATATATTTATTATAATCACTCAAATAAAATGAGAGAATTTTGTGAAAAATAGTTAAAATAAAACTGCATTTTTAAAAGAATTAAATTAAAAAATATTTCATAGGATGATAAATAGAGCAATTATCATAATGAATAATGAAAATAAAAGTATTAGTCATATTAGATTTAATAATTTTTTTTTCTGGGATATCATCATTTAATTATTGTTTTTTAAATAATTTTATATCTTTAAGCATTATGTCATTTCATATTTCTAATAATTTTCATTTAAAATTTATTATGATTGAGTATCAAATAATTTATGATAAATTTACAAGTTAAAATAACAATAATATAAGATATAATGGTTTGAAATCAAGTATAATGGATAATTTTCTATTATAAATGGAGAAATTAAATTTTTAAAGCGTAAAATTTAAAAAGTGGTTTTTATTTATATCTAAGTCTAGGAATTTATGAAAATCATAATTATAAATCTTTAACTTTCTTATTGTAATCAATATATTAAGTTATTTAATTTAAAGTTATCATAAATAATCATTCTGGTAAATTTAATATAAAATCAAAACAAAATGAAGTATATTAAAATGGCAGATATTTTTGGAGCATAATTTAAACAAGAAATACGTTTTGAAGAGAAACTTTAAAAATCAGTTTTAGGAGGAGTATTATCTATGATTGTAACTGTTGTCAGTCTTGGGTATTTTATATATATAATGGATGAATGGAGAAATTCTAATATCCTACCAAAATAATCAAATATCATAAAGGCTGAAAATTATTCATCTATATTGTTTAGTAATGAAAATCTTTTCGAATTATGTTTTTGGAAGTACTCAAGTGATGTAATAGATCCCTTCAGAAGTACTGATAATATTTTGATGCCTATAGGAATTTATATTATTGCTGGAATTCCTTAAAAACCATTTTCTTTGTTAAGTAATACTACAACATTATCAACTTACAACAGTAATTTAATATTTGTAGAAAACCTGAATATAATATAAAATAGTGAATTTAATCCTTTATTAAACTAAACAAAAGAACTGCTTATTGTTATTACAACATGTAATAAATAACTGCTCTCTGAAAATTAAACATGTGCAAATGATGATGAAATTGAGAATTTTTTTATTTAATAAACTACAATTTTAAGCTTTTGGATTAACACTAAGTATTTTAATCCAAAAAACTAAACTTTTGATATCGTAAAAAAGTAATATTATATATCATTCGAAAAAGAAAGAGCACAATAAATATAAGTAATTTTGAAATAATAAAAAACCATAGTTGATACAGGAATTTTATTTGGAAATTTTGAATAATAAAGTTTTATATTCGATGCTCAATTTTTAATGAGTACAATCTCTAATAACTTTTTTGATAAATTGATTCATATGGAAACATTTTTAACATTTACAATAAGATTAGATCCCTTTTCTTATGATACTTAAGTAGTTTATCCTAAACTTGGTGAAATATTAGCCTAAGTAGGATCAATTGTAAGTGTTATAATGATGGTGTAGTATGTAGCATATTTTTATAATGATTATTTATTACAAAGTTCACTTATAGAAACAGTATTAAAAAGTTTTATTATAAATTATGATTCCTTTAAGGGATCCTCAGAAAAACATAATTAAATTACTTATACTAAGATGAAAAAACTAGCCAAAGAAAAATTAGTGTTTAGTAATATAATAAATGAGCTTTCACGGATTGAATTATTTTTATTGAGTCTTTTTGATAGTACGTAAATTAGTAAGATTTCATAGCTAAAGTTTCAGATAAAAAATTAACATAAATCAGAATCTTAAGAAGGTATATTCTCTATAATCTCAAATAATAATTAGCATATAATAAATGAAGAAGACTTTTCAGATTTGTTTAATGCATTTAATAATAATCCATAATAAAAAAAGAAATTATTGAATGTAGAAAATATAGAATGATAATCTTTATTAATGTATTTATAACAACTATATAAAATAATAATATATATAATATATATATTAATTTTAAATAATATTATATTAAATTTAAAAATGAAAGAAGAGCATATAGATTAATAAAATATATGCAAAAACAAAATGTTAAAATATTTAATATTTATATTTCTCTATGTTAAATGAACTCAAAAGAATACAGCATAGGGAGGTGAATTAAATGGTCTTTTAATGTAATTTGGATTTTCTAGATATTTCTTTATTTATGGGAATTCAGAAATTCTGTTATGAAATTCAACAAGTTTTGGTTTTGAAGTAATGACTTCAGGAGCAAGAACTAAGAATTCATCAATATATTCCCATAATACAAAGTCAACATAGGTAATAGTATCTCCTGTTAACCATGTTGATCTTTCTAAAGTAGTATTAAAAGCTCTGAAGAATTCTCCTGTTTCTTTCAACATATCTTCCTTTTTAGCTTCTGCTGTTTCTTTATTACCATAGGTCCATCCTAAAAATGAAGCTTTTAAGTCGGTGATAACTCCTCTAATTGTTGCTACTAAAGTTTGTTAAATTGCATCTTTTCCAAGTAATTCTACTTTGCTAGCTTTATGAGCTAAGTAATAATAAATAGCATCTGATTCAAAAACAGTCTAATCATATTATAAAATATTTACATGATTTCCATCTTTAAGATAAGGAAGATTTGTAAATGGACTATTGAATGTTTAATCATCCTTTCCAAACCATTCTTATGGGTCAGTGTATCTTTTTTCTTCATAAGGAAGTTCTAAATATTCAAGGAACATTCTAATTGGTTAAGCTAATCCTCTTATTGCCCAATATCCAAGAATGAGTTTGTTTTCCATTTATTATTTAATTGAACAATTGGATACATATTTTACCACTATATGAATGTAGAATTATTTAAATTCTGATTAATTCAACTAAATTACGTAATGTCTAACTATCACTGAAATTTTCGAGAAATAATAGAAAAAATCATAACTTAATTTTTTGAGATTTAAGTAATTAAAAAAATTTTAATATTCTTTTAATCTTGGCGGTGTGTGTTTTAATGATATTTTTAAATAAAAGGACTAACATTATTAACATATATTGGATTATTTTATAATCGATTTTATCTATATTATTTTTTATAAGTTTTTATTATGATAAATATTTGCTGAATTAATAAAAAATTTTAGCCATTAATGTTGTAGCTCTAAATTTTCTATAATAAGTATTATAGTATAATATAGTTTAAAATATGTATAAGTTCAACATTATAGTATTAATTTATGAATTANCATATAGATTAATAAAATATATGCAAAAACAAAATGTTAAAATATTTAATATTTATATTTCTCTATGTTAAATGAACTCAAAAGAATACAGCATAGGGAGGTGAATTAAATGGTCTTTTAATGTAATTTGGATTTTCTAGATATTTCTTTATTTATGGGAATTCAGAAATTCTGTTATGAAATTCAACAAGTTTTGGTTTTGAAGTAATGACTTCAGGAGCAAGAACTAAGAATTCATCAATATATTCCCATAATACAAAGTCAACATAGGTAATAGTATCTCCTGTTAACCATGTTGATCTTTCTAAAGTAGTATTAAAAGCTCTGAAGAATTCTCCTGTTTCTTTCAACATATCTTCCTTTTTAGCTTCTGCTGTTTCTTTATTACCATAGGTCCATCCTAAAAATGAAGCTTTTAAGTCGGTGATAACTCCTCTAATTGTTGCTACTAAAGTTTGTTAAATTGCATCTTTTCCAAGTAATTCTACTTTGCTAGCTTTATGAGCTAAGTAATAATAAATAGCATCTGATTCAAAAACAGTCTAATCATATTATAAAATATTTACATGATTTCCATCTTTAAGATAAGGAAGATTTGTAAATGGACTATTGAATGTTTAATCATCCTTTCCAAACCATTCTTATGGGTCAGTGTATCTTTTTTCTTCATAAGGAAGTTCTAAATATTCAAGGAACATTCTAATTGGTTAAGCTAATCCTCTTATTGCCCAATATCCAAGAATGAGTTTGTTTTCCATTTATTATTTAATTGAACAATTGGATACATATTTTACCACTATATGAATGTAGAATTATTTAAATTCTGATTAATTCAACTAAATTACGTAATGTCTAACTATCACTGAAATTTTCGAGAAATAATAGAAAAAATCATAACTTAATTTTTTGAGATTTAAGTAATTAAAAAAATTTTAATATTCTTTTAATCTTGGCGGTGTGTGTTTTAATGATATTTTTAAATAAAAGGACTAACATTATTAACATATATTGGATTATTTTATAATCGATTTTATCTATATTATTTTTTATAAGTTTTTATTATGATAAATATTTGCTGAATTAATAAAAAATTTTAGCCATTAATGTTGTAGCTCTAAATTTTCTATAATAAGTATTATAGTATAATATAGTTTAAAATATGTATAAGTTCAACATTATAGTATTAATTTATGAATTATTAATAAAATGAATAAATAATTTAATAAAACTTCCCCTCCTGAAATATTTTTGACAACTTAAATAAAATAGGGATAAACAGAAGATTCAATAGATTAAATTAAATAAGTAAGATCAATAAGTTTAGAGAAAGAGCTAGCTTAATTGAATGATGAATAAGAAACTTATGATTTAATAAATGAAGTTGAGTATAAAATGTTAAACTTTCGATCAGAATTAAGAAGGGAAAGAGCAGAAATAGAATCAACAAAATCATAATAGAAATTGTTAGAAATAGTTGCTCAATCTAAAATTAAATAATTGGAAACATCATTAAAATATACAGTAGAGGCTTTAGAAAATAAGTTTATTAGAGAATAAGGTACAACTAATGGATATGTGGAATATATTTAATAATCAATAAGTTAGTAGAAAAAGGAAGATGCTTCAATAAATCATTATATAAAATTACTTGAAAAAAGAGTAGAAGCTTTAGAATTCGAACTAGGAATCGAAAATATTAATAATTAATAAGGGTTGTGAGAAATGTTAATAATAACGTATTATTACTTGATTTGATTGTTGATATATAATATATTGATAAAAATTAAATGTAAATGGAGTTTGATTAATACTTATCATTGTTAACTAATTTAGAAGATGAAATAGTTAAAAAGATTAGAGAATAATATCTTGAGGTTGAAAATAATAAATCTGAAACATTAAAGTGGACTGAATCTTAGAGTAAACTATTAAAGTCCTTAATAAATACTTATTGTTCTAATTAAAACATAATCCATATACATGTGCCAGACAAAGTTTGGAACATCATCTCGAAATTACTTAATAAATCTATAATTGATTGTAGATAATAATTAGAAAACACAAAAAAGTTAATATTTCATTAATAATGGACTAAAACAGAGGATGATATTTTAAAACAAATTTGTAATTAGTATACATTTGAAAATAAGTAATTCAAATGGAATGAAATTGCAAAAGAATTATCTTAAAAATATAACAAATCTACAATTAAGTTGACAAAACATGTAAGAGATAGATGGATTAATAAACTAAACCCTCAAATATTAAAAGGACCTTGGGAAATCAATGAAGAGCTTGAATTAATTAAAAATATATTAAAACATGGAAAAAATTGGTAAAATATTGCTGCAGAAATGAAAAACCAAAGAACAGAGAATTCGATAAAAAATAGATACTTTAATATTTAAAAAAAAATGGAATTTAAAGAAATTTAATAATTAGATAAATAATAAATTGAAAATGAACTTTTAAAACATAACATAATTTAATTCAATAAAGTGGATGAACTTGGATAATAAGAAATCAGTTTTATTTTATTTTATCTAAATGAACTTACTATTAAGAAAAATAAATTAAATGCTGAATAATTTCATTTATTTACAGAAAATGCTTAAAAAAAATAAGAACTTTAAGTTGATTTAAATCATAGTCAAAAAAAAAAACTAAAAACATCATAAAAATCTGATAATTCTCATGCTTCCAATATATTGGGTAAAGTATTAAAACAATATCAATAAGATTAAAGTTTAGATTAGAATAAAATTTAGGATCATTATGAGAATTTGGTATCTTAAAGAGGAAAAAAACTTGAGTTAGATAAAGAACTGCTTAGCAATTCTGAAAATTTATCAGATGTTTAATTTGGAATAAAGAATAAAGATTCATAAAATGTACATGTTTTTCCAAAAACTTAACTAAAAGCTGTGATGGAAATAATAAAATAAAAAAAAGATAGTAAAAAGGAAACCAAGAAAGAATCAGCATAATTATAGATTAAATAAAAAATGGGTGTCGATGTAAATTAAATTGTTAATTAAAAATAAAAATAAACATCTAAATAAAAAGAATAAGTGCCACCCCTATAAATTTAATAATAATAGTCAATCTAAAATTTATAAAATTAGTCTACTTGTTTTGAATAATAACTAAATTAATAATAAAACTAGTTCTTATAATAATAAAACTAGTTCTAATAGTAATAATAATAAAACTTGTTCTAATAATAATAATAATTAAACTAGTACTAATAATAATAATAATAACTAAACTTGTAATAATAATAATAATAAAACTTTTAATAATTAAACTTGTACTAATAATAATAATAATAACCTTAGTATCAACTTTTATATCCAAACTTTTTAAATGCTTAAATGTAAATGCCATAGATAACTTAAATACCTGTAATGGGATAGATATCAGGATAAGGATAAGGATAAGGATAGATGATGAATCCTATTCCAGGATAATAAATGATGATATAAATGCCTCAATAAATGATGGGACAATTATCTAGTCAACTACAAGGATAAATGCAGGGTTAGAATTTTTAGTTAGTTTCTGCTGTTCCAGGTTAAATGTAATAAATAGTTCATCCATTACATTAATAAATGGGAGATTAGTTGCAACATATAATTCAAAACCAAAGTTCTACTAATTAAAATAATTAATAGTAAAATCATCAAATGCATGAATAGTCGGATTAGATATAAATGTAATAAGTTCCTCCCATAGGAATACCATAATAATATTTTCCATTTATGTATATATACAAATATTACTAAATTAGGTTTCCTCCTTAGAGTATTTATCCATAATAGTAATTCTAATAGATTAGTTAACAATCATCATTATAAAATACTAATTTGAAGGATATGTTTTAATAGTCATCTAATTCATAATAAATGCCTGCAATGAATTATGCTATGTCTATGATACCTCAATTTGGTGATCAATAATACTTTCAGTTAATGAATATGAACCAAGGATTTTCATTGAAGTAGCCGAATTAATCTATAGTGAAACAAGAGTTAGAAAATTAATAACATAAAAACAATAAATGATATATTTTTAAAAAGAATTGTCCTGAATCTTATTTATTTCATAATTTTACTTATAATAACTTAGATTGAAATGAGAAATAGGAATAGATTCGATGAATTAATTCGTTTGTGAAGGTGATATTATAATTTACAAAAAATTAAATATTAAATATTAAATGAATAATAATAATAATAATAAATCAAAAGATATACAATAATATATCATCAAATCTTATTATTCATAATTAATTTTAGAGTGATAATGCAATTAAATATTATATAATTATTGTTAACTTAGAATGAAATGCTTTGAAAATAAACCAGCTTCATAATCTTATTAATTTCTTGATAAATTAGGAGAAGGGTATTTTTATGATTTTGAAAGTATAAGTTCCTTTGGATACATATGGAAGGTTAAATAAATATCAACTGGATAGATATATGCTTGTAAATTAGTAAAGAATTCGATGAATAAGGAGAAAACCTTATTATAAAGAGAGATAAAGATCTTACATTTATTGAAAGGAAAGAAAGGTAAGATGTAAATATTAATAGAAAAGGTTTTACTTAATTGATAGCATCTGGATAGGATAATAAGAATACTTATTTTATAATGAATTTGCTTGGTGATAATTTAGAATAAGTGAGAATAAAATGTGGGAAATTCAATAGTACTACAATATTGAATACAGGTTAATAAATGATTTTGTTACTAAAAGAGCTTCATAATTCAAATATAATTCATAGAGATATTAAACCAGAGAATTTTGTAGTTTTTTAAGATAAACTATATTTGATAGATTTTGGATTGTCTAAATTGTTTATTTAAGATGGAAAACACTTAGAATATAGAGAAAATAAAGGAATGATAGGAACTGCTCGTTATGCATCCATTAATGCATTAAAAGGAAATGAATAATCTAGAAGAGATGATCTTGAATCAGTTGCTTATTTGCTTATATATTTATTTATGGGTACTCTACCATGGAATAACATTATGGCTGAAGATAAAACTGTTAAATATTACAAAATTTAAAGAATGAAAGAATCATTTCAACCAGAAACATATATTAATTTACCTCCTGAACTTACTAAATATATGGAATATGTCAAACGTTTAAAATTTGATTAAAAACCTGATTATGATTATTTGGAAAATATGTTTAAAAGAGGGGAAGATTTTACTCGAAGTCCAAAGCTATAAATTTAATAAAGTCAATTATAAATTAAATCTAATTTATTGCATTTAAAAAAAATTGAGAGAACCTAATGTTTAACTTCTAAGAAATCATCAAATCAATAAGAAAATACAAGCAGAAGAATTACATTTGAAGATTTGAGTTCTGCTGGAGCTGATATTATAGAAGAACTTAATAAAGATGAAGGAATACAACTCAAAAATCTATCAGTAGGCATTAAATAACCATAAACTATAAATAGAATAAACAAAGTTAGAACAGGATCAGATTAGATTTTTGAATTCGAGAATAAACTTAAACCCAATTAACTACCTATATCCTTAAAACAATTAGAATGATATATTTTAGTAATTAAATATATTTTACTAAAGAAATTTGTTTATATTATAATGAATTCTAGTATCATTAATATTGGCATCTATTAAATACTTCTCAATCGTGTTATTGGGCAAGGATGGCATTCAACAACATATCTATGTATAAACACTTAGCAAATCTAAATATAATTGGTCGCTAAAATCTATTCGAATACAATAATCCCTGATGATATTGAAATTAGTAAAATAAAAGACTTAAATCACGTTAATATTGTCTAAATTTATGAAGTGTACTAACATAATAAAGATGTCATTGTAATTATGGAAAAATGTTACTCTTCTCTTAAAAATGAACTAAAATAACAAAATGAATATCAAGAAAGTGAATTATTAAAAATGTTAAGTTAAATTTTATTGGGATATAATTATTTATGTAATTCTGGAATAGAAATGAATGACTTGAAACCAACTAACATAATGATAGATCATAATGAAATAATTAAAGTATTAGTTTATTCTATTTGATCAGCTTTCAAATTATGGTATGAAATGCCTTTATAAGCATTCAGATATGGAAATTCGAGCTTATGCTGCTCCCGAGATATTTTTTAGTAATGAATAAACAGATGCTAAAAACATTTTTTCTGTATAAAATTATATGATTTTTTTAGTTAGGATTAATCATGTATGAACTATTATTCCATCAACTTCCATTTAATTTAAGATAGAATGGAGATGTGATAATGTTTTTATAAAAAATAAAAAAGGTTAAGTTGTTGTTGCCTGATAATGTATAAAATTATTTTAATAGAATTGCCAAAGAATAAGTGACTTAATTTCTAAAATGATATTATTTAATAAATCTGAAAGAATAAATCGAGAGAATTTGGGAGAAATATTAATATAGAACTTCAAAAGAGGAAATAGAAGAATCTTTAGTATATAACCCATAGCTGCTCGAGCAGATGATTATTCATATCCCTGATCTTTTTGAGGGAATTTTATTAATTTTTATTTTATATTATGAATTAATTTAATGTCGTCTAAAGAGGGAATTACATAATTCATTATTCAGATGTAATAGCTGAGGGAGTAAGAGGGAAGATATATAGATGTGAACGTGGAAATTAAAATGAATAATTATGTGTATAGGTAATTTGCAAGACTCCAAACTATGGAAATTAAGAGGAGGAAATGAACATTTTGAAGAAACTAAAAAATGCAGTTGAGAAGGATATTAATATTCTGAAGATATATGATATTGATGATGACGATACTAATTATTTTATATATACAGAATTATGCGATAAGAATCTATAATAATTATTTGAAGAGAAGAAGAATAGCATAATAGGGTTTACTTAATAGGAAATAACAGATTATATCGGTCAAATAGTGAGAGGATATTAATATTTAAGAAAGTTGAAAATAATGTTAAGAGATTTAACACCTAAAAGCATATTGATAAAGAAGCTCTCAAATAATAGAATTGTATTAAAAGTAAAAGTTTTTGAATATTTTAAGTTATCTGATTTTGCTATTAGTTGTATGACAGACGATGGATATGCATAATCTAGAGTTGGAATACCATTATTTGCAGCACCAGAAGTGTATTCTTAGTCTCCAAATTAATAAAAATACAATGATTCATGTGACATCTATTCTGTAAGAATATTTAAATATTTTTTAAAGCTGGGAGTTATTCTTTATATGATGTAATACAATGGAGATACTCCAGGCATTGTAAATAATCTTGATGATCTTAAAAATTTTCATGAAAAATTAAAAAACTCAGGTGGATTCAAATGTAAATAACCTAAAACTTTTATTTCCGACCTAATAGAAAAAATGTTAAATTATTATCCAGAAAAAAGACCTTCTTGGGATTAATTAGATAGGAACTTAGCTAAACAATTTTTAATATTTTAAGACATCTATTTTGTAGATCTAGATAAATAAATTGGTTAAGGAGCATAAGGAGTAACGCATTATGCATATGATTTAAGAAATAATCAAGAATTAGTTTGTAAAATTATTGCAAATAAGCATGCTGGTACTTCAAGAGAAATTTAAATTTTTGAATAAATTAAAGGAAAGTATCATGAAAATGTTATAAAAACCTTTGCAATTTTTAAATAAACAGAGTCTACCTATCTAATTATGGAAAAAGGTGATAGAACTCTACAAAATTATTTAGAAGATAAATAAACTAATCAACTTTAATTGAAAACTTAAGAAATTGTTGAAATTTTATATTAAGTTGTACAAGGATATATTTTCCTTAAATAACTTGGAATAATTCATAGAGATTTAAAACCAGATAATCTTTTATTAAAAATGAATGATTAAGGAAAATATATTGTCAAAGTATTATTATTAAACAACATTAGATCATCGATTTTGGAGTTGGTAAAATTATTGGTAAAGAAATTACCGCTACTGATACTGGTACTCCTATATTTTGTGCTCCAGAAGTACTTCAACATGGAAGAGCTTATGATTATTAGTGTGATATCTATTCAGTATTTATTTAATAAATAATCTATAGTTAGGAGTTATGTTACATTATTTGGCATTCTAAAGAATGTTTAAAGATATTGGAAGTTTAAGTGAACTTATGGAATTTCACAGATTTTTAGAATCTACACCATTTTAATGTTAAAACCATGAGGTATTATTCTATTGAATTTAGAATCCTTACATAACAGAACTAATTAATAAAATGATTGTATATGATCCTTAAAAAAGAATTAATTGGGAAAAATTATAAGCTCATAAAATTTTTGATTCAATAAGATCCCAATAACCAAATATTGTTTAAAATTAAATTGCCTAATAATTAAATCATTATCCATAATAAAATTAACCAAAATAGATTTAGATGATAAACTAATTGTCTTTATAACCATAATAATAATAATAAAATCAGCAATAATAATTACAACCTATACCTCCTCCCACATTTACTATATACTAATATATTTGGTCTCTCCATATATTAGCATCTAAGACTTTATAAAGTTTTGGCATAATAAAAGAAAATAACTTATTACATGATGAAATACTCCTATCCAAGCAATTTATTATTGAATTCATCAAATCTTGTTTGAACAGTATTTCATATATCCAAAATAATAAATCTATTTAATTAGATGGAGTTTAATATAGAATAACACCAGCTTTTGATTAGTGGTTTGCTAATATTACATTCAATAAGGCTATGGACTAAATCCTTATTTTTTAATAATAATTAAATTAAATATAAACCAATAACAAAACATTTGCTATTTGTTAAGGAGAAACTTTTTTTAAAGAAATCATAAATCAAGGCTAACCAACCGATTTTTTACATTGTCATAGATAATTTAATAAATTTTATCAACTAATTAAACCTAGTATTCTGAGCTCGAATCTTGATTTGAACATTAAATTCTTTATGGGAAAACTTTCAAATGTTTTCATAGAATTTCCAATCTAATAACACGAAAAATTCTCAGAATAAAACATTAGTTAAAAAATTATTAAAAAGTAAACAATGGAAGATTATGTTAGAAAAAACTAATGAGAAATGAAAATATATGAGTTTTTGTTATTTTACAAAGAGATTCTTTAAAAATTTTATTGATTATTTTATATCAAATTTATCATGCAGTGTATGAATTCTTTATAGGTATCAATATGTGAATTGACAAATTAACTCTTAAAATGTATATCAAAGTAAGAAGATTCTGAAAGCTTAAAATTTGATATAATAAAGAAGTTTTAAGAAAACATAAATAATGAAGAAATCCATTAATATATATTTCAACTTTGGTATATACATCAATCATATTAGTTACATATATTATGTGACAGGTAATCAACATCTTGAAGAGTTTTTGAAGAAGTATGGCCTGTTGAATTCTTCAAATTATTATAGATTAGAATGGACTTTAAAAGCATTAAATGAAGAGTCTAAATATTATCCTATAAAAGAGAGTTTCATAAACTTTTAGACAGTAAACAAAGGAATTATTATAGTTAATTAAACACGAATATGTAAATAAAGGATTGACTAATACAAATAGTAGAGAAGATTATTTTAAGGACAGTAATAGATTTATATGATAATAAACTTAGTGTATTTAATGAAAGAAGCAAGAGCAAATTATTAAGATAGATAAGATTAATTAATTTTCAATTTAATTGAATAGAGTATAAGACTTAAAGGAATAGTGATTGAAGAAAGGAAATAATAAATGATAACATTTTTGAAAAAAATTAATTAAAACATTAACTTTTTATGGTAATTAACTTAATAAGGAGGTATTACTATACCATTTAATCATGGAATGATGGATTCTTGTTTAGTAGTTAATATTGTTGAAGATGAATTTACTTGTTTCAATACAGCAAAAAGAGTTCCTTATAAAATTATAGTAGAAACAATTGAGTATTATTGAAGATTATTTAGTCCATCTGAAGTAGAGTTTATTAAGAGAGCCGTTGAAATCTATCAAAATAGTAATAATGTTTAAGAATTGAATCCTTTTTATGATATTGAGAAAGAAATGAGAAATATTGCACAATTAAAGATACTTTAGCAATATGACATAGATGAATTAAAAAAGTAATGTATCAGGATATAAGAGATTGGCATTAAAAAAAATAGAATTTCATTTAAATCCTGAGAATTAAAAAATGAAAAAGAAACCCAGAGATAAAGATATTTATGCATCTTCTATCAATTGTAATTCAATATGGGGAGAAGATTGGAATGTTACATAGAGGAGAATATAAAAGATATCTTAATATAAAGATCTTAAGACATATTAAATTAGATAAATTATTATTAAGGGAGGTGATGATTTAAGAAATGAATTATTAATTATGTAGATGATTAAAAAAATAAAGCAAATATTTGAGAAACGTAATTTAGATATCTTTTTAAGACCTTATGATATAATTTTAACATCTCCAAATAGTGGAATATTAGAGTTCATTCCTAATACTGTGTCTATGGATAAAATAAAAAGAGATTATTAAGAATTAAGTTTGAAATAATTCTATTAAACATTTTTTGAATGTTTTGAAGATGCTTAGACAAATTTTTTGTAAAGTCTTGCAGGATATTCATTAATTTGTTATTTATTTTAATTAAAAGATAGACATAATGGAAATATTTTAATAGATAATTAAGGACATATAATACATATAGATTTTGGATTTGTATTAAGTTTAACACCAGGTAATTTAGGATTTGAATCTGCTCCATTTAAATTAATATAAGAATATGAGGAACTTTTAGATGGACAAGGTAGTTATTTCCACAATTACTTTTAAACATTGATATTTAAAGGTATATATATATATAATTTTAAATTTTAAGGTCTTATGGCGTTGTAATGTGAGATAGATGAAATCATAACATTTGTAAATTTAATGAATTTTAGTCCAAAACATAATCTGTTGGCTAGTTTGGAGAGATTTAAAGTGGAAGACTTTCGTAAAAGATTTATGGAGAATTAAACATTAGATCAATTATATCTAAATATTTAGAATATAGTAAAAGAATCTAGTAATTCATGGACAACAACCCTATATGATTATTTTTAGTATAAAACCAATACTATATATTATTGATACTAATTATTAAAATATGAGATAACCTGAGTATAAATGCACAGAGAAGTTATGGAAGCCTATAGTTCGACCTCCAAGACATAATTATCGTTTAAAAGATATGGGGAATGAAATATTTATGATTCATGATACAGTAGTAAAAAGAATAGACTTTGAGATTGTAAACAGTCTTGGATTAATCCTACAGTGTAGGTAAATTGTATTAAAATATTAAGTTTATTTGAGCCTGTCAGAATGTAAGATAAGCCTCATGCATGTATGATTTATTTACATGGGAACTCTAGCAGTAGAGTTGAATCTTTAACAATACTTGAGTATTTGCTTCCTTAAAATATTGCAGTATGTGGAATTGATTTATCAGGTAATTCATTACATAACAGTATGTAGGTTCTGGTTAATCATAAGGAGAATATATTTCATTAGGATTCTATGAATCAAAAGATGTTAATGATCTTTATAATTATTTACGTTCAAATAAAGTAAGTTTACTTCATTATTAAAAGTTTATTAGCCTTTTATCACTTAAATAGGTTTGTGGGGTAGATCTATGGGTTCTGTTACAGCTATATTAGCAGCCAGTTTCAATTCTAATTTTAAAATTATTGTTTGTGATAGTCCCTTCTCTAATTTAACTCATTTATGTTAAGAGTTGGCATCCAATAATTATAATATTCCAGGATGTTGTTTTAATTGTTTTTGGTGTTTTGTTAAATCTAAAATTAGAAAAGAAGCTAAATTCAATATTGATGATCTTAACATCATTTAAATTATACAAAGTTTTAAAATTCAATTTATTTTATAGCTTTATCAACTGATGTTTCTATTGTTTTCCTTTCAGCCAAAGATGATACACTAATTAGAGAAAAACATCCTAAAATTTTATTAGAAAAATTTAGAGGAATTAAAGAATTCTTTTAATTTGAAGGTAATCACAATTCCAAAAGACCTATTAATGTTATGAAAGCAACTGTTTCATTTTTAATTGCTTAAATGGAAAAATAAGAATAAAATAGTACTCTAAGAGATACCAAAATTTCATCCAAATTTAAAGATTAAATACCTCTACCTGATATTGGAGCACCACTTCTTCATTCAGAAAAACCATATATATCAAAAACAGAAAAATGATCAGAAAGTCAATTCCATATTATAATTAATATTTTCATTTCTTAATCTAAATCAATTCATTTAATTTAAATTCATAATGATATATTTTCAACCCTTTATTCTCCAACTCATTTTTTAATATAACATAATAACAATATCTTTTAGAACTTGCAAATTTAAGTTTATATAGTTTATTTACATCTTTTATTTACTATTCTTAAATTAAAATAAATATAAATGTAATAGTATTCATTACCTCTTTTAAAAAAACCTTATAATCCTTTAAAAGTGAATATTAGACATAATCTTGATACATAATCATATGTCAAATTAAGAAAATATAAAAGTGAGTAAAATACTTTTGCAAATTATGTTTTTTAAAAATAGCAAGAATTAGAATTTGTAATGCAATCAGTTATTCAACACTCTTAAATAAAGAATTCATTTTCAAGACATCTTCCTAAAATATAAGAACAACAAAAAACATCTCCTTATTTGATTAAAGCTTTAGTAAAAAATAGATATTCAACAGAGCCTATAGATTAGAAGAAAGAAATAGATTAAATCAAATCAATAGACATTACAAATCATAATAAATTGGAATTTCCAAAATTTTAAATAAATTCATTAGTGAGATAACAATTTAAAAAAAGTAGAATCAGCCCAAATCATAAGCTTTTTACAAATGTTTAGTGATTTATTAGTTATTAAAATCACTCATCTCATAACTAGTTAAACTTCCAATAAATGGTTTATTAAATGAAACTTACTAGACTTTCTTTTATTTTGGAGATTATTGTGTGCTTCTAAAAGTTCTGCTTTATAATTTTCTCCTTTCAAGTTACTTAAAAAATTAGAATTCCTCTCTTTTAAGTCCATTAAATTTTATTTGCCCATTTAATTTTCTATTATCAACTACACTTTTTATGTTTAATCTCTAAATTTCAGTAGTTTTTTCATCACTAGAATTTGGATCAAAAAAGATTTCGCTTAACTCTTATTAATGTACATGAAAATCTTTAAATTTTTTGAAATAAAATTAAGCTCGATTTCGCTTTTAAGGAAAATATTTTTATTCCATTTCTAGATTTCTTTTTAACTGTTTTTAATAGAAATGTTTGCTTGATGAGAGACTATCTTTAAATGCATTCATAATTTCTTAATCCTCTTTTACTAATTCAGCAACTTATTACCAATGTTCTTTTTCTAAAAGTTCTAAATTTTTTTTAATTTATTCAATTCTTTCACATTTTTTCTTACTGTCTTCAAATAATCTATTAAAAACACCTTTTTATTAAAATTTCGATGAAAAGAATGTTTAAGTTTATGCAATTTTTTCAACAGATGATTATGGATGTAAAATAATTAATTAATTAGTTTAACCTAACTAAAATCCATTATTTTTATCATTTGATGCTCTAAGATCATCTTAATTATTTGAATTAGAATCTTTGGATTCATTAACTTATACATATCTCCTTTTAAGATTAGTACTTTTTTAAGATGAATTAATTTCAAAGGATTGATTTCTTTAATTGATAAGTTAGAAATTTTATTATATTACTCCTTCTCCTTCCATATCATCTATATCTTAAGATAAATGTTTAATTTATTATTTTAAACCTATTATTTATTTAAAAAGTTCATCAATATTAATTAAATCAGTTTAGCATTCATTATCATTTAATTTTTTTTATTAATATTCAAATTCTTCTTCTGTTTTATCATTAATTTTATTCATTTCATGTATTTCTATAGCTTCTGCCAAAGTTTTACTTATATTTCCAATCATAGTTTAAGTTGCTTTGTTTTCATATTATTAATTTAAAAATTCCAAAGCCAAATTATTTTTTTCATATTATAAATGTACTTCTTATATAAATTTTAATCCATTATGCTATTATCTTAATTATTTTAGTTTTTCTTTAAAACTAATAGTTGTTTCTCTATTGTTATCTTCTAAATTAAGTTATTCAGGATTAATTTTAGAATCAATGTGTTTTATTGTTTATTACAAACATTTTTAATGATTTTTAGCTTTAGTTTTAAGATCTTAAATAATATCTTTAAATTAAGTATTTTATGTCATAATTTCTTAATTTTATAATTACATTTATTCTAATTTATTGCTTAATTCAACTATTTCTTCTTGCTTTGTTTTAATAGTGATGATACTTTTGAGATAATTATTTTCCAATTCTAAGAATTGTTATGATGTCAATTTTTCGTAATCATTCTAACTATATTATTAACTTTTTGCTTTACTATGCATATAAAATCATTTCCTTTATATCTTTGCCTTTCTTTATCTAACTCACTATATACCACAATCTGGTTGCATATTTCAGTTAAATTTTCTGTAATTATTATAATTCTTTTGATTTTACATCCAAGTATTCATCTTAATTTTATTTTACTATTTTTATTTAAATGTAAAATTACATTATTTTTTAAATTATTCAAATTAACGCATTATTTATTAATTGATTCTTCCTTCAAATTATTTAACTCTTTCTATCTCTTTTTTTAATTCTTCAATTTCATCTAATAAATCTTAGTTTTAAATATTAATGATTTAACAAGCTCTTTCTAAATAGACATACATTTGATCTTCTATTCCTTTTTTAAAATATTCTAATTCTCTATCGTAAGCTTTAGTTACCATTAATAATTTATTCACTTCTCTATAACGAATTCCTGAAGCTGGTTTTTATTTCTCAAAAACATCATGAAAATATTCATTTCCTTTTATATCTTATATATATTTCCATATTTTATAAGGATCTTATTCTAATGTAAAAATACGATTCATTAAATATTCTAAATTATCTAACATTTTTATTTTTTATTCCTAATTACCAACAGTCTATCTTAGATTCTAAATTTCACTCTTTTACTTTTAAACAAATAAATATCTATACAAATTAAATATAACAATTACATCTCCCTTGTTTTTTTTTCATATTAACTCTTCAAATTTGCAATTTTATTATTTACTAATTCTCTATATCGTGGATCTTCAATATCTGTTACATCACAATATGAAACCTCATAATAATCAAAATCATCAGATTTTTTGTACATTTGTTCTCTCATATTTTATAAATCTTTTAGATAACCACTTGCTAAATCCAATAGTTTTTATTCTTTTAACTACAATTTAATTTTCAAACTTGCAATTTCGTAATCTTTTGATTATAATAGTACTTTATGTTTTTCTAAGTTTGCATCATTTGAATAATCCTAAGTACTCTGTTAAAAAGAAATCTATTTCACTAAACGAGTTTCTTCTTCATCTGAATTCATAAATCCTTCTTATTCACGATCTCCATGATCTTGTCGTTGTTTTATTAGTTTACTTACAATCTTTTGTTATTTAACTATAATACTTAACATACTGTTGATTCTTTATTGTTTTAGAAGTACTTTCTCAATTATTAAATATATTGTATTATTAAAGTCTTGTATTCTACAGGCGTTAAAGTACATGGACAACAATCTCCTAAAAATACAAACTCAATTATAGAGAGTGCAAATTATTAAGTATGAGATTATATTATTTAACTTTTCACTTGATCTATTGTCTATAGAGTTTCTTTAATAGGCTTAATAAGATTATCCACTTATAATTTAATATCCATTATAATTATATTAATTAATAATAAATATAAATATTATATAAAGTCAGTATCAAACAATACTTCCTACACTTCTTCTTTTGTTACGTAATTCATACATTTTTTATATCTCTTATTTAGCAGTATCTAATTCAACATTTGTTAAAACTAATTGTTCTGAACTTTTATTATAAGTTTTATTTAATTATAAAAATTTACTTCGCCATTATTGAGATTCATTTTGATACAAAGTAACCTATTTTTATTAATTAATCAATTAAAGTTCTAATTTATTAATCTATTTGTTTAGATTTCGAATTTCAATATTTAATTGTTCAATTTTAGTAGAATGTTCAAGTTATGTTAATTTAAATTTATTTTTCATATCATCATATTCTTTAATAATAATATTTTTTTGTTCTAAAATATTGTTGAGACTTTTAATTTGTTAATTAGATTCTTCACTTTCAGATAGAAATTTAGAATTAAATAAATCTAATGATAATATCTTGATAAAATGTTACCTGTACTATTAGTTAATTATTAATCAAAGATTCTATGATTAGATTCTAAATAAGATATTTTCATATGTAAAAATTATATTTAGTATTAATAATTTTTATTCAGTGCTTAGATATTTAGTAATTATTCTTATAAATCTTTGAGTTGATTGATATATTCATTTTCTTTATCAAAATTTTTAATTCTCATTTCTTCCATCTAATCAAATAATTATTGATTATCTTTCCTTAAATCACTTACCAATTATTCTAAAAAAAACACTTTAAGTAATTCAATTTAAGAACCTCTACTATCCAATCTATTTGGATAGCAATCTGGAGTCTGATTCAATAATATTATTTACTTGATATGGTTTAGTAACAAAGAAAAAAGGTTATGATTTGATGTGCATGAAATATAAAAATTATATAAGAAAATAAAAATTTATCATTTTATGTATTAATATAGATATCAACGATATTAGATTAAAAATAAATAAAATAATAATAATAATAATATTGAATATAAATAATATAGATTTGATGATAATGTATTATTTTAATAATTTATTATTTTTATTCAATCATTATTTGATACCTGCTCTATCAAAACTAGATTTGACTTATTGAATAAGTGATAAATCTGTATCATATTATTATACTAATTTAGAATTCAAATTAGCTCTAACAATCCAAGCATCTTGTGTAGCCTTTAAATTATCTTAAGCATCTTATAAATTTGATTTAGCATCATTAAGTAAATTAGTCTTGGCTTTAATTTCAGCTATTTTATTTAATAATTGAATATACTATCTTTAATCTCTATGCTTTCTCTTAAATCAGGTAAGACAACAGTCGATAAAATATTTAATTTATCTTCATATGTAGTAAGTAATCCTTTATTTAAAGCTTCCAATGATTAAGAAGAGACAACTAATTGCAATCTACTCTCTAGTAGAGAAGTTCTCAATTAATTTAATAAGTTGGTGACTTTACTAATTAACTCTTGATTTGCAAAACTAGAGAATATAATAAAAGTTGGAATACTTAGATTATGCAATATCAGTTAGAGCTACAATCAAAGGTTAGAAGAAAACATTTTATTTACTTAAATGAGTTTTCAATTTATCTTTAACTTATACTAATGTATCAGCATTCTTTAAGGATGTCAATAAATTAAGTGCTTCATCAATAGCAGCAGCAGAATCATCATACTCTTATAATTATGCAGCAGTATTAGCAGCATCTGTTTTAATTTATTAATCTAATTAATTTCTTAAGAGTGTAACATCTTATTATTCTTTAATCCCATCATTTAATAATTATTATAAAGTATTTCTAGCCTCTGTTAGATCAGCCAAATCAACTTCATGTTAGGATACTTCTACTTAATATTAAGTAATTTGATTCTCATAAAACTCTTAATCTGCATTGTTTGATAAAAAATCCTTATTAAAAGAGCCATTTTCATCTTCTCTATTTTATGCAATTTCAGATTCAAGATCATTTATAGCATTTATTAAACGAGAATAATCTAATTATTATGATTACTCTTATAATAATGCCATATTTTTTAATGCTCTAAAAAGAGATGGATGTTATTCCTCTATTGATTTTTGTCTTTTTAATTTATTTAACATTTTACTTTGTTTGATTATCAATTGCTGCAATTGTCAACAATACTAAAGCAAAGAACACTATATATTTCATTTATACAATATATTAATTAAAAACGACTATTTAATTCATTTATAATTTAGTGTAAAATCATCAATACTAAACAATGGAAATCTAGATTCCAATTCTTAAAATAGTAATTATTAACCAGAACTACACTAATTAGGTAAATGCTAACATATAATGTAAATAGATACTCCTAATACTAAACCAAATTCAATATGTAATTTATGTCTAATATGTTTAACACTTAAATTAATTGGTAATGTCCATTCTTATTATAGCATTTCATTAAATTCATTTTATAAATTTCTATTATTTTATAATCCATTCAATAAATGTTCCATATACAAACAAATTTTTAAATTTTAATGATGTGATTACATCCAAACAGTTTCACCATCAACTCTCATTATCATTCTCTAAATCAATATTTAAAATTACAGTTCCAAAACGCCAAAAATCTGTTAACATAACAAAATTAGCATTCACTTATATATATGTGTGATTCTAAGGTAAATCATTATATTGAAATATTAATTCATCATTCCATTTTCCATATATTCTATTATTATCATTTCTATCATAAATATATTTATCTAATTAATTTCTTTTGAAATGTTCATGTTTATAACTAAAATAACTATTCTACTTTAAAATATGTCTTAATTTTTCATGATCGTTTTATAAATTTTTACTTTCTTTTCTCCAACCAGTATTCTATTCATCTACCAATATTGGCATCCATTATGATTGACCATGAATTTAAATAAACTCTGTTATTATTGTTTTACCATCTGTACTCTCATCTTCATCATCTCTATAAATCTCTCTAAAATTTGCACTTATAAATATTGTATCCTCTCTATTACTCCCTTCTATAAATGCTGATGCTCTTGTATCACTTCTAAATGGACTCAAACTATTCAATTCCAATACATCTGAACTAAACTCTGTTGGAATATCTATTTCCTCTGTTACTATCCTATCTGCATGTACCTCTTTACATTTTAATTCCCCTTTTAATATCAATTATTTGCAAACCAAATTCTCTCTTATATCTAATTATTTTATATCACCATTTACTACTATAACCAATATAGTGATTATTATTTATTTCATTATTATTTTGAATTAAATCTCATACTCATTTCGCTTTTTAAATTAACTCTTCTATCTCATTTCTATTATTACTCCACTCATTATACCATATATATATATAAATCATTTTTTATCTTACATTCTTTTTTATATAAACTTTTCATTTTAATAACATATTTTTATTGAATCAATAACATAGAATATTTTCATTTACAAAATTTATCAAATGTCTCTGTTAATTCCTCAATAAATAATTTTAATGATCTGTGTTCTCCAACGTATTTTTCTAATTTTTAAATATGACCCTATTCCAATTTCAATTAAGCCTCTCTTTTTTCATCTACTTTATACTTCTTGAATTAATCTTATCCTCTAAGCGTAAATTTTTCTTTAAACAATTCAACTTCTAATTTTAAGAAATCTCTTTTTTCCTCAAATGCCTCATCATACAATTAACTCCAATTTATTAATTCTTAAAACTAATCTGGGTTATTTATTATATAATCAAAAAACTCTACTTTAAACTTCTCTTAATCATTTTACAATTGTATAAATTACTTTACAAATTCAATCAAAAATTATTAAAGAGTTGTATTTAATTAATTACTTACTAATTCAATACTACGTAAAATATCATTTCTTATATTCAAAGTACTAAATTCTTCATAATTAAGTTAAAACTAATTTTTTTCAACTAATTCATCATTTTTAAGTTCATATTGTACATTAGATTTATCTAAATCTCTTAAGAAAAAAGTATAATCTTCCTAAATTTTAAGGTTTTCTCTTAATTTTCTTTAATTTTTTTCTACATTTTTTCTCCTTTCATTCATTTACTCATTATTTTTTTTGCCACTTGGACCTGTTATTGTTAATAACTTATAATTAGCATATGATGAGAAAATTTCCATCATTTACAAAGCAAATTTATTTGTAGCTATATAGTTATCATCTTCAATTTCTTCTAATTATGGCATTTTTGGTGGCCTTCCAGATTTATTGGTTTTAGATTTTATCATTTTATATTTTATCATTTTATATTTTAATAGATATAATTTAGAAATTTAAATTCAATAAAAAGAAATTTTTAATTCTATTGTCTTAAATTCTATTTCTTTACATTTTTATATTCTATTATCAATAATTTTTTTTATTCTATTTGGATATGAAAAAAATTATATTTAAAGTTTTCATGTATCCAAAGATCTTCATTTATAGTATTTATGTTAATGATATAGATTCCAATAAATATTATATTGATGAATTGATTATTTTAAATCATCTTATTAACAAAATTAATACTTTATATTAATATATTTTGTTATTTTGAACAATTTAGAATTAAAATCTCAATTTTGGAATAGATTATATAAATTAATAATTATATTAAATTATATATAAACCTTATAATTCATTCTGGATTATCAAAGTAGTTTGATATTATTCTTTAACGATATGTAAAGAAGAGTGATGGATCAATTATCAATTTAAAGTCTAATAAAAAAACTAAGATTCTTTCTAAATGATTGAATTCTTCATGTGAAATACCAGCTACTTTAGCATAATATGAATTTTAAAAGAATCTATCATCATAGAATTTAGCAGATATCATGACTGCTACTACATATAAACTAATTCTAATTATACTAAAATTACCGATGTACATTAATTGATTTAACTATAATTCTTCCCCATTTTTATGATAATTTATCCATAAAAATTAAACCCATTATTAAACATTCTTATGAACATTGAGCCTGCTTCAAAATTCTGCAAATGTAATCATAAATTGATATTGATGGAATTTTAGGGCTATTAAATGGTTCAAGTTCTTAAATGTTATTAGCATCATTGTCACCTTCATCACATAAATCCATAAGCAAATAAGCCATTGCACTTGACATTTATTTATTATCAACAATTTGCTAATTATGTAATTCATGTTGTTATTCATAGGTCATTTCTTTTGTTGAATCTAACATTTGACTATTTATTATATATTATTAATCAATATTTAATAGTTTAGGTATCAATTCTTCTTAATAATGTAATGTATTGCTTCATATTTTCATGTAGATGCTTTCTAGTTCTCTCTTGGCATTCTTCAACTTTTTTGTGTTAAAACACCATCAGTATGATTTTGCAGTTTTCTCTGTTTTAAATTTAAATCTTTTATTTAAACCACTATATTTATCATCAATTTATTCAACACCTATCTTTATCACACATAATCCTACACTTTATGTATTCATGATGAACATCTAAAAAATTCTTATAACAATCATCTTGCTTTTTTCTTAATATTTAAACTTCTTAGTCATCAACAACACTATAATATGATCCAACTTCTTCAAGAAAATTCTTAAAATTAGAATTTATTGCTTATAAATCCATAATTAATTTTAATACAAACAATACATCATTTTTTGTTACAATCTTTCCTATTTGAATTTTGAGAACTTTTTTCTTTTGTTCTTCTTTCATAATTTTATAGTTTTTTTGCTTACTTGAAATATTTTGTATAAATTTTGTAATAAAATTTTTTTTTATTATACAATTTGATCATCAACTAATTTATTATACTAAATCAAGTCTTTCTTCCTCTTTAAATTGTAGGATTATAACTTTATTATTATCCAATATTTTGATTTTTAGTTATCTTTTTTGCTTGCATTTTTATGAATATTTTCATTTATTTTATTTCTTATATCATTTTTCACCTCCTTATTTGATTGCTAATCCTTTAACAATCCTTCCAATCTTATTTTTATTCTTTAGAATATATAATGTGGAAATTTTAAGGATGCTTTAGCTATTTAATTTAGTTGGTTTATAACAAAATTTGACATCTATTTTAATTTTGTAAATTTATCATCTAGATATAGNTTCCCCATTTTTATGATAATTTATCCATAAAAATTAAACCCATTATTAAACATTCTTATGAACATTGAGCCTGCTTCAAAATTCTGCAAATGTAATCATAAATTGATATTGATGGAATTTTAGGGCTATTAAATGGTTCAAGTTCTTAAATGTTATTAGCATCATTGTCACCTTCATCACATAAATCCATAAGCAAATAAGCCATTGCACTTGACATTTATTTATTATCAACAATTTGCTAATTATGTAATTCATGTTGTTATTCATAGGTCATTTCTTTTGTTGAATCTAACATTTGACTATTTATTATATATTATTAATCAATATTTAATAGTTTAGGTATCAATTCTTCTTAATAATGTAATGTATTGCTTCATATTTTCATGTAGATGCTTTCTAGTTCTCTCTTGGCATTCTTCAACTTTTTTGTGTTAAAACACCATCAGTATGATTTTGCAGTTTTCTCTGTTTTAAATTTAAATCTTTTATTTAAACCACTATATTTATCATCAATTTATTCAACACCTATCTTTATCACACATAATCCTACACTTTATGTATTCATGATGAACATCTAAAAAATTCTTATAACAATCATCTTGCTTTTTTCTTAATATTTAAACTTCTTAGTCATCAACAACACTATAATATGATCCAACTTCTTCAAGAAAATTCTTAAAATTAGAATTTATTGCTTATAAATCCATAATTAATTTTAATACAAACAATACATCATTTTTTGTTACAATCTTTCCTATTTGAATTTTGAGAACTTTTTTCTTTTGTTCTTCTTTCATAATTTTATAGTTTTTTTGCTTACTTGAAATATTTTGTATAAATTTTGTAATAAAATTTTTTTTTATTATACAATTTGATCATCAACTAATTTATTATACTAAATCAAGTCTTTCTTCCTCTTTAAATTGTAGGATTATAACTTTATTATTATCCAATATTTTGATTTTTAGTTATCTTTTTTGCTTGCATTTTTATGAATATTTTCATTTATTTTATTTCTTATATCATTTTTCACCTCCTTATTTGATTGCTAATCCTTTAACAATCCTTCCAATCTTATTTTTATTCTTTAGAATATATAATGTGGAAATTTTAAGGATGCTTTAGCTATTTAATTTAGTTGGTTTATAACAAAATTTGACATCTATTTTAATTTTGTAAATTTATCATCTAGATATAGATATATAACAGAATTAAATGGAAGTAACATGGATGTTAGTTATGATTGTCTTGCAATTATTTTTTGAATTAGAGGAGTTTAATTAGATTTTGGATAAATTTATAAAAGTATAAAATTGAGATGAAATAAATAAAATAAAACAAAATGAGAGGAGATAAATAAAAGGAATGATTATTTGTATAATATTGATTGTAATTTGAAGATTAAAAAGAATAAAAATTTATATATTTAATTAAAAAATATATTATGGCAGACGTTCAAACACAGAGAGCATTCTAAAAATAAGAAGGGATTTTCTAAAATTCAAAGAAACTTTTAGCTAAGAAGACATCTAAAGGTGTTAGATACTGGAAAGAGGTTGGTTTAGGATTTAAAGTACCAAAAGAGGCTATAGAAGGTCATTATATAGATAAGAAATGTCCATTTACAGGAAATGTGAGTGTAAGAGGAGCAATATTAAAGTATGAAAAAGAGAATGAATATATAATAGAGGGATAGTGATATCAACAAAGATGACTAGAACAATAATAATAAGAAGAGATTATTTACATTATGTTGCTAAATATAATAGATATGAAAAGAGACATAGAAATGTACCAGTTCATATATCTCCAGCATTTGGACCAGTAAAGGAAGGAGATATTGTTGTATGTGGATAATGCAGGTATATATATGATTGACTATGAAGGCCATTGTCAAAGACAGTTAGATTCAATGTATTAAAAGTGATTCCAAATGAAATAATAGGTAATGTCAGAAAGCAATTTGTTTTATTTTGATTTGTAGATCATCATCTATATAATATACAATATAAAAATATGAATATATGGATAAATAATATATATAATTAATTATGGACGACATGAATAATTATGATGAGTTTGGAAATTATATAGGGCCAGAAATAGATTCAGAGGAGGAGAATGTATAAATAGAAGAGGAATAGATGATAGGAAATGAATAAGAACATGTGATAGCAAATGTAATAAAATGCTTCTATCTTTGAAGAGAGTGTATATACCTAATCAATAAGTTGCAGTGATTCTAAATGAAGATAAGCAATATTATCCAGATGCATAATAAGTATATGGTCGTGATGTCGAAATCAATGTTCAAGAAGAAGATGCCTAGCCAATAACTCAACCTATGATAGCGCCATTAAAATCAAAAGAGTTTGATATATAGGAGATTTAGATACCACAAACAACTTTCGATTATGAGTTTTTGTGTCGTATATCTAAGAATCCTGCTTTGGTAAGAAATGTTGCAATTGTAGGTGGTCTACATCATGGTAAGACATCTTTGATGGATGTCTTTGTAAAACAAACTCATCTAAAACAGTTTAATTTGCAGAAAGACATTCGTTATACAGACACACGTTAAGATGAATAATAGAGATTGATATCTATCAAAGCTATTCCTATGAGTTTGTTATTACCTAATAGTAAAGATAAATCATATTTAATTAATCTTTATGATACACCTGGACATGTTAATTTTATGGATGAAGTATGTTGTGCACTTAGAGCTAGTGATGCAATCTTATTAACTATAGATGTAATCGAAGGAGTCATGATGACTACTGAAATGCTTATCAAAACAGCTCTCAAAGATAAAATACCTATTATTGTTTTTATCAATAAATTAGATAGACTTATTATTGAATTAAAATTACCACCTTCTGATGCTTATTTAAAAATTAAACATATACTTGATGAAGTCAATATTATTATATCTGATCATGGAGGTAATCAAATCATTTCACCTCTTAATCATAATGTCATTTTTGGCTCTGGTTTATTTTAATTCCTTTTTACTATCTAGAGTTTTGCTAGAAGATATAATAACTTCTTAAATCCTGAATAATTCACTCGTCTCTTATGGGGAGATATCTATTACGATAACAAAGAAAAGAAATTTGTTCGTAAAATATCTCCCTATGCTACTCAAAGAACTTTTGTTGAGTTTATACTTGAACCTATCTATAAATTATTTGGTTAAGTTGTTTCTAAAGATAAGGAACAATTAGAACCCTTCTTATTAAGTTAAGGAGTCTCCCTTAAAAAAAGTGAATTTAAAATGGATACAAGACCATTATTAAAATTAGTATGCTCCATTTATTTTGGTAATACATCTCCCTTAGTTGATGTACTTGTTGAATAAGTACCTAATTCATAAGAAGGTAGTAAAAGAAAAATGTAACTATATTATCAAGGTGATAAATCTAAATAATCGTTTATCCAATCCTCCTAAGCTTCACATAAAGGACCCTTATGTATTAATGTTGTGAAATTGTATAGTAGACCTGATTGTATGAGTTTTGATGCTCTTGGAAGAGTATTAAGTGGAACTATTAAAAAAGGATAAAATGTTAAATTATTAGGAGAAAAATATAATATTGAAGATGAAGAAGATATGGCTATTAGAAATATTAAGAATATTTGGATCTATTAAGGAAGATATAGAATTGAAGTCAATAAAGTACCTGCAGGAAATTGGGTCTTAATTGAAGGAATCGATTAATTTATTACTAAAACTGCTACTATCATTGATGATTCTTAATCTATGGAAATTCTAAGACCCATTTAACATAATATTTTAGCCACTATGAAAATTGCTATCGAACCTTTAGTTCCAAGTGAATTACCAAAAATGCTAGAAGGATTACGTAAAGTAACCAAAAGTTACCCTATCTTAACCACTAAAGTTGAAGAATCAGGAGAACATATTCTATTAGGAACTGGAGAACTCTATTTGGATTGTGTAATGCATGACTTAAGAAAAATGTATTCAGAAATCGAAATTAAAGTATCTGATCCATCTGTTCGTTTTTGCGAAACTGTTATTGAAACATCATCAAAAACATGTTATGCAGATACTCCAAATAAAAAAAATAGAGTATATTGTATAATGTTATATTTAGATAAAAGCATTGGCAAGCCCATTAGATAAGGGTTTAACTCCTTAAGATAAAGGATTGGCAGAGAGAATAGAGAATGAAGAGATAGATTTATCATGGCCAAAGAACAAATTAAGTGATTACTTTAGATCTAATTTTAATTGGGATATTATATAGAGTAGATCAGTGTGGGCATTTGGACCAGAAAAAACAGGTCCAAATGTATTTTTAGATGATACATTACCATCAGAGACAAATAAATAATTATTAAATGAAGTCAAAGATTATATGATTTAAGGTTTTTAATGGGCAACAAGAGAGGGTCCCTTATGTGATGAACCAATAAGGAATGTAAAATTCAAAATAATAGAAGCAAATATTGCAAATGTAATAATAATATTTATATGTGTAGGAACCAATCTATAGAGGAGGTGGATAAATAATTCCAACAACAAGAAGAGTTTGTTATTCATCATTTTTAATGGCGACTCCAAAAATAATGGAACCTATGTTATTAACAGAAATAATGTGTTTTCAAGATTGTATTCCTGCTATACATAATGTTCTATTAAGAAGAAGAGGACATATTTTATCAGAATAAGCAAAACCAGGAACTCCATTTTCAGTAGTGAGAGCACATATTCCAACAATAGATCATTTTGGATTCGAAACTGATCTTAGAGTACATACTTCTGGATAAGCATTTTGTTTAAGTGTTTTTGATCATTGGTCATTATTACCAGGAGATCCATTAGATAAAACAATAGTTCTTAAACCTTTAGAACCTGCTCCTTCAAATCATTTAGCAAGAGAATTTATGATAAAAACTCGTAGAAGAAAGGGTTTGAATGAAGATGTGTCTATTCTGAAATTCTTCGATGATTAATTCTTGATTGATTCACTCAAACAAGATAAAGATTATTAATAGTATATTTGATGAGTAATTATTTACATCCCAATAAAATAATAAATCATTATTTTACAATTCCATTATTTCTTTCTAAATAATCTAATATTGTTGTTATCAAAGTTTACTAACAAAATTACCCAATCATTCTTTCTTACATATTTTTTTAAATACTAATTTAAAAATATATATTACTGAAATCTATGCTATATGATTAATTTCCTTCATTGTATCAAATTTATGTCATTAATTATTTAATACAATATCTACCTCTATTATATACTAAAAACATAAACTTGTATAATTTAAATATACTATCTATCTTGTTTTTATAATTCCAAAAAATAACGTATATTTGAATTAAAAAAAAATTATTTAAAATTACCAACTTTCCTAAAGATTTTTTACAAATTTATCCTTAAAAAAGAAGATCTAAATTATGCTCCAATTTATTAAAAAATAGAATATTTCACATATTGATTCAATATTTTTAAGTATAAAACTTTATAATATAGATTTTTCGATATAATTACATATGAATATTTCATTGTTCCTAATGTGGTTTATAAACTTATCTAGTATTAATATTAATTTAATGTTCAAATATCTTATAAAAACAAGAAAATCATTGTTGAGATTAACATAAAGTTAAGTATTTCTATATATTATAAATTTGGGAAAGAATTTGAATTGACTTTAGGAATTCAATAATAAAATCTACTAGCATGAACAATAAATTTTTGATCTTTTTGTTGGTCCTCCTATAACAAAAAAACTAGATAATCCAAAACTCAGTATGGTTGATTATTATATTAATTCATAAACAATTTGAAAATAAGAATTCGATCATTAATATTAAGAAAATTCTTTACTTAGAATACTCCTTAACGATAAGCAAATTGATAGATAGATCAATTTTAATGAATTCCTTGTTCTTACATTTATTATTCTAAAAGATTGGTAATATCAATAATTTCACACAAAAATTAGTTGGAATGGCAGTATAGAATTTATATTTTTTATCTGTTTATTTGAAGGGATTTAAATATTAGTATTGAATTGGGTTTGATTTATTGTTTTTAATGTTGTAATACATAATTTTATTTAATAAAAAAATTGTGTATAATATTAATAAAAAATAGTTTGATTGTAATAATAATTAATTGTATAACATAAAATTATACAATTTAAAAAAATGTAATAAATTACATCATCAGATATAATTTAAAAAGATGGAGGATGATTTTAGTTTTAATATATATAAACATGATAATTCTATTGATTTTAGGTCTGATTGAGATAATAGTCTGTTAGAATAGATTTTATAGCCAAGATCCAAGTAATGAGATTACAAAGCCAAGAACACATGCAAAGATTAGTGAGAATGGTAAATGTATGGTGTAATAAGATTAGATACAAACTTTGATTTTTATTTTGAGTTTAGTGATGATAAGAAAGAAGTGACAATGTTTATAGAGATAGATAAGATGAGTTATTTTTCATTAGGATTAGGGAAATCAATGTCAGATGCTGATTTATGGGTATTTGAAGTTTATGAGAATGTAATAACAGTAAATGATTCATCTTGCGTGAAACACGGAAAGCCACCAACAGATATTTCTTAAGGAGGAACATAAGATATACAACTTTTGGGTTATTATTATAATAAGGAAGGTAAAACAGGAGTAAAATTTAAGAGATTAGCATATACAGGTATATTTGAATATATAATAATATAGGAGATAAATATGATAAAGATTTAGTGGAAGGAGAAGCAGTAGATTTTATATGGGCACATGGTAAGACAGAATCTAATCTAACAGTTTCGAATCATGGTACAGTTAATAGAGGATCAGTATAATTAAATTTTACCGATGGAGGAGGGAGTAATGATGTTGTAGTAGTTGATGGAGACAATATATATTATATTCACAAGTGGACAAACTTTGTATGTTGGGGTATAGCTAGTGATATTGCCATCATTATTGCAAGATATTATAAAACTTGGGGATATCGAACATATTTACATGGATTTCTATTTATCTTAATTGTAACAAGTTCAATTACTACAGCTATTATGATGATTAATACTGATTGGAGTGTAATTAAGTGGGATAATTTTTAAGAATAATCGATCGAAAATTAATTCCATATTATCATCTTTGTTATTGTTGCATTCTTTATGATTGCATAAACTATTGGAGGCATTCTTTATAATTATATGTTAACTTCATTCAAAATTAATTAAAAAGTTTCATCCAAACCATCAATTCATGCCATTCTAGGATATTTTGTATATATTCTAGGCAAATTGTAAGTCATTGCAGGACTTTTAATGGATTACAATATTTTATTTATGTTAATCTTCATTACTGTTTTCTTATGTCGAATTATCTTAGAAATCTTTTATAGAAAAGGAGGCTTAATTAAATTAGTTATGACTTCCAATAAAACACATTCTAATAAAGTTTATTCAGATACTTTAGATCCTTTATTAAATGTTAATAAAAGCTAATTTGAAGAAAATATTTAAAAATTATCCAATAAATTATGGTGTATTTATAAAAACAACATTGTTGATTTATCATAAATGATTCATCCTGGAGGCAATTATATTTGGAAACTTATTCAAGGATAAGATGTTACAAGATACATTTTAGGAGCATATACTCTTGATACATTATCAATTAAACCTTATAAACATACCATTTACACTCTCAAAATTCTAGAATAATATACTACTAATATATAAGTAAATTAAGATTTAGAATTCTTTGTTGATAAAATAAATAATAATCTTACTAAACTTAAACAAGAATAATGGAAATTGAATACAGTCATACCTTATACTGATTAAATTGCCTACTTTGGATTTGTACATCAAAAGTATCATTTTATTAATACCTTGTCTGGTCTTCAAACCTTTGCTTAATACTTCATCATCAAACCCATTGATCATTCTTCCATTTCTACTAGATAATATACAATGGTTTAAAGTATGACATCTCAAAGAGTGAAATATCGAAAAGAATTATCAGAACTTTTTAAAAAAATACTTAATTTATAAAATATTCAAAAGGAAATTCCAAAAGAAGACTTGTACTCATCTGAATTACCTTTAATAATAAAAAGATATCCTTCTAAAAATGGATTCTCATAATTCATTCATGATGACAATCGCAAAGGATAATATCTTATTGAAGGACCTTATGGATAAAATATTTCAATTGAAAATGGTAATCATTTAGTCTTTATTGCTGGTGGTACTGGATTGTTTCCCTTTTTAGACATTCTTGAATATCAACTTAAATTGACCTATCATTCAATTTTATTAAAACAATTTGGTTAAGATGCCACATAAATTATTAACATTGGATTAATTAAAAATTTTAAAATCACTCTATTTCTTGCTGTAAATTCACTTGATGATTTGGTAATTAAATTTTTTATTATTTTTATTAGATTGGTAAAGATATCTATTTAACTTTGTTAACCTTACAATCTTAATTAGATATACCGAATTTTAAAATGATTGTTAGAGGAAACTTCAAATTGAAAGAATGTGAAATAATTACATAAAGATTTAATGCCCAAGTTTTCAAAACATTTATAGGTGATCTTAATGCAGTTTCTAATTACTTTATTTGTGGTCCACCAATAATGAATTAAACAACAGAATAAATATTAAATGAAGAAGGAATACATAAAATAACAATTCTATGATTATTATATATTTAGAAATATATTGATTTTCATTTTTTTATGTACAATTTTTAATAACAACAAATACTAAATTTACTTATACATACACAAGTCAACAAAAAAAATATAGACCATTCCATTGGTTATTCTTAGATCATAATTATTTAGATTTACATGATAATATTATTGAAGCAATAGTTGATATCATTCCTCCCAAACATTATAAAAAGTTAAAGAGACCAAAATATTATATTTGATCATTCCAATCCTATGCAATAATAGCTAACAATGTTGATGTAGTTCCACAATCAACCAATCCCCAAAGGATTGCTATTATAAAACATATTCCATATTTCTATTCATAAGTATTGATTATTGCTAATAATAATGCAACAGATATCAAATGAAATTGTAGAATTTAACTTGTATACTTTGGTGTATAGGTATTAAAAAAACCAATGAATATCTAATAATTTATAAATAATAATATATTACACCCCCCAAGACTTCACAACATCCTAATACCGTCATCACTAACAAAGTATATTTAGTAATTTCCTCATCAGTTAATGATTAGGTATCAATTGAATTCTCGATGATGTAATGCATAACATTCCATTAAAAACTCAAAAGACAACCAGTAATCATCATTGGAAATATAAAACATTTAACTCTAAATTCTTTCATAGTCAATAAAACAGAAATTGGTTTCAATCTTTTTATTTCCTCATTATTCGAAACATCCATCTCTTCTTATAATTATACAATATGATGAGTTGATTATTTAGGTTATGGTACTAAAAGAAAAGAAAAGGAACCAATAGTAGCCACTGCTACCATCAAACAATAAAAATAAAATTGTTTTATTTGTACAATTACAAATGCTGAATATAAACTTCCTATAACTTATGAAAGTTAAAGAACAGCCCAAGCAATTCCATAATATAATCCAGCCTTTCTAGATTATTTACTCAATTTTGCTACATAATCATTTTATGTTATAAATAAACCAGATGATGTAAATCCACTTATTGCTGATGAAATGATTGTTATTAAATATATCCAATACCAATTGCACATTCCTTCCTCTTCATTTGCACAATGACAAACCAATAAACCAGAAATCAAAAATAGCAGATATCCTAAAGAATGAATAAAAAAACTATATCTGTATTAAAGTTTCTTGATATATAAAATACCTTGAATATCTAAAATTATATTTACATACAAAGTTTCCAATCATTCCAAATAAGAAGATAGTGAAAATCGAATAATTACCCAAATAATTGAAGCCTTTCTACTCAAATATCTAAGTCATCACATTTAAACCAGTTGATGTTGCTGATAAATATATAGCAAACACGAAGCTCATATAAATTAAACTACAGAGCATGTCAAATTTAATAATAATCACATTTTTTTTATATTAATTTTATCACAACGCTTTTCTTTTCTTATTCAATTTCTTTCTCTTTTCCTTTTTTTTCTAATCAACTTTAATTCAGAGTAAAAAAAATTGATTTATAAAATATTTGGGTAAATTACATCATTTATTCATATTATGTCATTTTTCTTAAAAAATTTTTTTTTTCATTTCCTTTATTCTAAGATATATCAATTCCTTTTAATGATATTATTATCTGTTTTTATGGATATAATTTATTTTAAAAAATACTTTTTTATTGTCTTATAATTTCTTCTCTTTTTTGAATAATTTCATATCAATTAACAAAAAGAATAAATAAATTCTAATTAGTCAAAATAAGAGTCATATCTTTTTATTTATCTATAATTATGGCCCTATAAATTATTTAGATTCAATACAATTTTAATCTTTTTACTATTCAATTCAAATAGTTATTATTCATTTTAGATCATATAAAAGTTGAATTGGGCAAAATCAATCATTTATTTTTGCTTATAATCAATATGAGAAGAATTAATTGTCACTGTACTGAAATAAAAGTTGTATCAATAATTCAGATTCGATTGATTTTTATTTTATTTTTATGTCGGCTCTAAGAAGAATTAAATTTTTGAGAAAAATTGAATTTTTTAATACTCTCTTCATAAAATCATTCTAATTGTAATCCAAGTTAAATCAATAATAATAAAATAAATATATTAACATAAATATTATAAGGATTTATACAAATCAATTTTAGTATAACATAGAGCTGCAAAACTAAATTTATTAGAGTTAATTAATTAGATAAATATGCAAGATCATTAAAGGATTGTTGAAATGAAGCAAATGCTCAAGTTACTCTAACAAATTAATTAACTCTAAATCTAAAATGAAGAACCTGAAAAACAAAACACTAAAGAGTCTGATTAAAATGATGAGGAAATTATTAATGATATCGAAATTATATTAAATTTTGATGAAGATCAACCTGAACAAACAGAAAAAGAAAAAGAAAAAGATGATAAATTATCAGAAAATGAAACTATTTCTAATGAATAATAAGATTATACTTCAAAATAAAATTCAATAGAGCAAAGAAAGTCAGCTTGTAGAGTTGTATTCAACCCTAAAAATAATTCTTATGGATGCTCTATTTGTTAAATTACTTACAAAGTATTAAAGAATCTTCTTAATCACTAATGCAGATTTCATAACAAAACAAAAAAAACCAAGAAATGTTTTTAAAAAACAATTTCATGAATTTTATTTGAATATATTAAGGATATTTATATAAATATATTCTTATCATATTATATTTATCATTTAAATCGAATCTTTAAACACTTTATTCGAGCTCTAATTAATTCAAAATTTCTAACTATTATTTTCTTTAAATCTAAAATTTAACATAACTTTATTCTCTTAAAAGATTGTTTATTACTTATACTATCTGAAAATTTACGATAATATTATTAAAACTTTATGAAATAGGATTATTAAAATATATAAAAATATTAAAATTTTTATTTAGAGACATTTTTGATAAAACCTGGAAAAGAACTTTATTAAGCATATTTTTTTATTTAAATTGTAAAACTCTTTAATCGAAGTATTAAAATTATATTTAATGTTTTTTTGTTATTAATAAAAGGCTATAATTTTTTGCTCAAACAAGAAGCCTAAAATATATAAAACTATGTTTAGAATATAAATTTCTTAAAAGATATAATATTGTCATTTTTTTTAAAACCTTTGAAATTTATCTGTTTTCTGTTACTTACAAGAATGAAGTGATATTTTTGTCACATAAGTCCCTTTATTTTTTAAAATACCTTTCTTTGACACTGATTTAGTGCTCAAATTTGGACTCCCCTCCATCATCTTTGGGATAATAGTTATTTTATTGCCAAATTATAGCAAATCTCTCATAATTTAAGTTCCCTCTTCAACGTTTTTTGGCTTAATCATTATGAATTCGATATTAGATATTAAGAAACCATCTTGAGGAGATTCTTTTTTTAATTTTAATTGATGATTATTAGCTTAGATTGTTGTGTTTATGATTTGAATTTCATTTTCTAAATTGATTATTTATTATTATTCAATCTCCTCAAATTCAGTATCTTATGTTTATCCGCATGAGTTACCCATGAATTATTAAATTTAATCTTTTTCAATATAATTTTAATAGCCTATTAAGTCAAATATTATTTGAGTTTATACTTTTTTAAAAAATTAAACTCAAGCAACATGAGATAAAAATTATTTTTAGATTGTTTTTATGATGATGAAAATCAAAACTAAAACTTTTAAAAAATATGATTTGTTCAATGAATTATATAAAAAAAAAATAATTTATAATTGGGGGGTTTAGTATAAAAATTGATTCAAATAATATTACTATTGAAATTTAATTATGATCAAATACTTTTCTAAATAAAAAGTATAGATTTTTTGAAATAAATTTAAATAAATTTTATTTAATCCTTATGCTTTGATTCAAATTAAGTACTATCAGAAATTTGTAAAAACTCTTTTCAAATACTTAGCGATAGCTATTTTTGATTTATAAAATAGGAAATTTATAAATTGGCAAGCTAATATATTCATAAAGAATGATTGAGAGAATAGCATTTTTTTTGCGATGAATAAAATTTATTTTCTGATAAAATTGCTTTTAAATAGAAAGTATTAAATTTAAGAAGGAAAAGTTTTTAAAAAATGAATCAGTTTTCAAGTTAAAGCTTTGTGAGAGTAAATAGTTCTGCTGAAATAGAGGATAGAATTAGCTTGCTTGGTAATGTAGAGGTATATAATGAAGAAGAGAATTCAAGTCAACCATAACTTAAATATATTATGTAATCCTTTTTTTGAATATAGGAGTTAAAACTCCCCTGTTATTATTGATGAACCTGTATAAAATATTTCTAAGGAGGAAATTCATATGAATTCAACTGAATAAAAACTAAATAACTCATTTCAGAATGACTTGTAAATTTAAAGTTATAAACAACCTAATGATAATACAAATTACTATAACAAAAATGAATAAAAAAGACCTTTAAGAACAAGGAGAAAAATTAATTTGAATTCAAGTACGATTAATTTTCAATCTGATAATAATTCATCATCTTAAAATATTTGTAATAATGCTTGCAAATGTACAAAATCAAATTGCTTAAAATTATATTGTTAATGTTTTCATTAAAATTAAAATTGTTCCGATATTTGTAAATGTATAGAATGTAAAAATAGATTAGAGCATTTAGAAATTAGATTCAATGCTCTAGAAAAAATTAAATAAAAATTACATAGATAAAAAAATGATGATGATCTATTTGATAGATCTAAAATTTGGGGATGTAAATGTTAAAAATCTTAATGCTAAAAGAATTATTGTGAATGTTTTTTAAGAAAATAGAAATGCTCTTCAAATTGTAGATGTAAAGATTGTGCAAATAAAAAGCGATTCCCATTTTAATAAAAAAAAAAATAAAAAAGATGATTAAATCTTATAATTAAACTTTATATAGAATTATGATAGTAAAGACTTCAATATTTTTTTAATATTATTTTACAACAATATATTTATAAAAATATTATAGATTGTTTCTTTCATTAAGAAGTGAAAACAAGAATAATATATTTTTTTATTAAACATAATTTAAAGCTGTTAAATAATAATTTAAATATCAATATGAAACCTTACCAAACTCCAAATTCTGGTCATTCTCGTTAAGGTAGTTTAAGAGTGTAACGACAACCTTTGGCTGTAATAAACAATTGTCCAGAATTTTCTTAATGTGCAAATTACCTATAATAGAAAGTTTAGGGTTTAGAAATGAGAGTTAAGAACCTTAATAGTTAACATGCTGATAGAACAGAAAATCGATCAACAACAGCATAAAAAAATGATGCATCTTTATCACCATTTATAAGGTAGAAAAAACCATGCAGTTCAAATTAGAAAGTTGATTCTTAAAGTTACTATGAAGCCATCATTAATAAACGATTAGAAAACATTAGTAAATTAGATCAATCTCCAGTGCATATCAAAACTGATAATATTGTGACTCAATAAGATAAATATTCAATACATAGTTAATTATCTAATATAGGTCAATAACACTCGGGAAAATTGCATTTTAATAGTATTGGAAGAATTTAGCAATTAACTAAAAAATTAAGAAAATTTAAAATGATTAAAGATCAAAATTAAGATGAATGTGCTCCCTCTTTAGCTAAAATTAAATGTTTTTGCTAAGAATATTATAATGATTGTTTCGATTTCTATAGATGTACTGATTTGATTGCCTTAAAATATTTTATCTATTTACTAGTTTAAGAAATCAATAATCTTTATAGTTAAGATGCTTTTAAAATGGCAGATAATTCTATGTAATATCAATAGTAAATTGAAATGCTAAAAGAGTAATTGGATAACTAAAAAAGTGATCAAATGACTTTTTAAAACTAATTAAAATTGTAAAAAATGGTTGTGGATACTTAAAAACTAATATAAGATATTATTAATGTTTTATAATCAAAACATAATTAGAGTACATTGATTAATTAAGTTGAAGTGTTAAATAACTAAATGAAAAGTATAAAAGATAGTATGTCAACAAATTAACTATAAAATCAAAATGCTACTTCATTTGGATAGTAATTGGCAAAATGTGGTATCGATATAAATTATCAATAAAGAGCAACAAATGATACTTCAGCAGTAAATTAATCTAATTTTAAGACTTAAACAGTTGATGAAAGAAATTAAACATAATTTAGTTCTAAATCAAAGTCTCCTTATAATAGAAATCATTAGAATATAAATTTTGATTTAGATTAATAAGTTGATTTGAATAAAAAGTTATTAGATGAATAAGTTGTAACTAATAGATAACTAATGGAAAAAGTGTTTAAATTACAAAACGAAAAATAATAGATTGATTAGATATTGAAATAAGTATAAGAAGAATTAAAATAAAAAAATTAAGGAATACTAGAATTAGAAAATAATTTATAGAAAGAAAACTTAATACTTGATTAATTGAATTAAAATCTAGAAGAAACAGTTTAATAAAATTAAGAATTATAAAAGGATAATGTTAATTTGAAAGAAACCATTGAATAATACAAGAAGTTAGAATAAAAGTATTATGAATAGTTATAAGAAAATAATAACTAATTCTAATAATTAAATTAGGTTTAAAAAGAAAATGTATCTTTATAGAAAGTTTAATAATAAGTAGAGGTATTTGAGTAGATTTATAGTAGGCTGAATGTAAAGGCTATTAATAATAAATTTTAAAATTATAAGAAAAGTGTTAAGCACAATAGGCTTAATTATAAGATTAAAATGATGTGAAATATCTATAATAGTAAATAAATGAATTATTATAATAATAATAAGAGCAGAGTAAAATAATAGTAATAAATAAATGAGTATTAAATTAGACGTTAATTACTGATGAAGCATTGTATTTAGGATAGATGACAATTTATGCTAGTGATATACTATCTAGATAACCTACAGATGGAATTCCTACAACTCTTGTAATGTTATAGAAAGACTTAAATGGAAAGAGAAGTACAATTTCATAGAAAATGAGTATTCTTTAATAATTTGGAAACAATATGAGAAATTAGCAAATGATTTCTCAAAGTAGTTCTAGCTAATTCAATGATAATGTGGATTTATTAGAAAATCTATAAAGTGAGGATTCATCAAATAGATAGAAGAATTTATGTATTTATTAAGAGACTGCTAACACAGTTAACAATAATATTTAATCAAATGATTTAATGATGATGTTGCTTATTTAATGTAATACTATAGAGAAAATGATAGAACTTTGATTTTTTTCTTTATAATTTAATTTAAATATTATTTTATAATGTTCTCATTAATATGGATTTTAATTATGCAATATTCATTTGCTATGAATTGCTAATGTAACTAAACTTAGACAAATAAATGTTTAATAAATTCAGATTGCAAATTTAACTTATCTCCTCAAAATATGAGTTTTTCTTTTGAATTACTTTAAATAGAAAATTGTATAGTGACGATATGTATACATTAATATGGAAATAGAGCATAATTGAATTTTAGTTAATTGTCAATAAAAAATTCAATTATAAAATATGATGAGGATTGTGATTCCTATTTAAATCTTCATTTAGTATTATATGGAGATGATATAAGTATAAATTTATCAAAAATTTTATTTCAAAGCAAAAACAATGTAGACTTTAGATTTGTAATTATGAATATTATGATTATCTAAGATACATAAATTTTGTTAAAAACCATAAGTGTGTGTGCAAAAAATTTATTAATAAGTAATTCTACTTTAAAAAGTGAAATGTGGAATAAATCAGAGTGTTCATGTTTAAACAATAAAAATTGTTCTGATCCTCAAGAAAATAATACTATTTATAGTTTTGTAGGTTATATTACTTAAAACTTTTCTAATTTGACACATTAATATATAGAAAGTTAATGGTAAGAATAATTTGATTGTAGTTTGTTTAACATAAAAAATATGAGTTATTTTTCTATGTTATTTTCAGTTTAGAATGAATTTAATTTGATATAGTAATCAAAAATAAAAGGTTTTTATGTTGGTATATATTCATATATTTTATCTATTGATAATACAAGTGAAATATCAGGTAATGGTATGGGATATTTGATAAATGAAGGATTAGGTTGTGGTTATACAGATAGAATAATAGGATTAAGATAATAATGTGGAGGTACTGGTGGAAGTCATGGTGGTATGGGTGGATTTTCTATAAGTCCAAAGACAAATTATAATTAGTTGTGTTCATAATTAAAAAGTAAATTCATATATGATTATCCATTCTATCCTACATTACCTGGTAGTGGTGGGGGAGGAGTAACAGATAGAAAATAATTTTAAGATATAGAAATATAAGGATCAGGAGGAGGAGTATTATATTTTGAAGTTCTAAATTTAATAAATAATGGAAAACTTACATCAGATGGTATATCATATATTGAATAATCATTATATGGGAGTGGAAGTGGAGGATCCATTTAAATAAGAGTTATCTATTTTAGTGGATATGGTCTTGTTTCAGCTAATGGAGGTGGTATTAATTATCAAGATGATTAAAATCAATATCAATTTGCTAGATAAAAGTTTTATTAGACATATCAAGTTTATGGAGGCTTTGGAGGAGGAGGAAGAATAAGATTATTCTATTTCAATATTACTGAAATGATTAAAAGTACTTATTATAACTATACTAATAATACTATACAAGCTAATTATGGAACAATTTCAATCTAACAAAAATAGTTTCTCAATATATCTAATTAATCTTTAATCAAATATTAAGGCTCCATCACACCAACTGGATGTCCTTAGGGATAATTTGGTTATTTTTGTCAAAATTGTTCTTTAGGATATTTTAAAATGCTTTACGGTTAAGCTAAATGTTAACCATGTTTTAATTCTATAAACTCAAAAACTACTATTTACATATAATCAGGTGAAAGTTCACCTTTTTGTTAAATTTAATGCAAAGATGGTTAAGAATCAAAATATAATTAATGTTTTATTGGGTTAGCAGATTTTTCAATGAATATAGGTGGACAAAATGTAATTTTTGCAATTTTAGTTGTAATAATTTTATTATTAATCAATATTGCTATTGTTTGGGTTAATAGAGAAAGGAGTAAAAGTAAGCAAAAATCTTTATATGGCTCTTATGATGAAACATCTCTTTAATAGATGGATCAAACTCTATATAATTTAAATAACAAAACTTTTTTAATTAGTTAAGATCTTCATTTTCATGTGCGTAGAATTTATCTTGGTGGTAACAATACTTATTAAAATCCATGGTCTATTTATTAAGAAACATTTCTGGATACTGATCTCAATCAAGGAAACAATTAAATTTTAGAAAAATTATTTAATACATTCAATGAAAAAGCTAAATTTACAATTCTTTAAACAATCACATTATAATTTTTAAAATTTTATTATTATCCTTTATATATTTGGATTCTTTAATTAATTTAAACAAGCAAATTTCATACACTCTCCAAATTATTTGTTTAATAGGATTAACTTTTTAATGAAATAGATCCTGAAAAAGATAAAATTAAACTTAAATTTTCATGTTCTAAAGATAGAACTCTAGCATTTATTGATAGACTTAATATCGCTTGGAAAATTGTTGAATAAAGTAATACTTTAGAATTACCAATATATTTCATTTTAAGTGGATAAGGTACCTTCTCTTCCCCATTTTAAATTAATACTCATGATGCCCTTATTAAAAGATTATGGTAATAAATAGGTTTTAATAATAATGAAGATGACATCAATCTTTTTGAAAAATTTGTAACTAAATTTAATTATTATGCTGTATAGATAGATTTTAGATAATCTTAATCATCATTTACCAAAAGATTTTTAGATCTTCTTAATTATACAAATCTATATAACTATGAAATTTTTATTAAAAATCATGCCATTTAAGTTGATATTTGCATTCATATTATAGCTTTGAAATCAACTTCATAAAGTTAAGTATATATACTTGGAAATGCAAATTAAAGAGATCTTGAATTCCTACTCAAATAAATTCATATAATGAATAATTTACCTAAAAAATTTAATATCAAATTATCTATCATATTTAATCATTATAAGAAAGACAGAATTTTTAATTTAGAAACATTTAATAATTTAGCCTAAAATATTAATGAATAATTCCAAATTATTGTAAATTAAGATAAAGAAGAACAAAGAAATCAAGTATAAATGGAGAAAAAAAAGATGTAATGCAAAATAAATCGTTTTAAGTTAGAAGGAATGAAATAATATAAACTTAAAGGATTGCAAAATGTTAAACGATTTTTTATTTGGCTTTTTAGTTAAATAACTAGATATCGAGGTAGTAGAGTTAATTAAGAATTTCTTATTGCAGGAATCTGTATTGTCTTTGCTATTTAATGGGTATTATTTATTTATTATTCTTATAAAGTGTTTTGCCATAGCTTATCCAGTCATTTTGTTAAAACTTGTTCTTGATAAGAATTAAGATGATATTTTTTATGCTGAATTTATCACTTAAATTATTATATTCCCTGTAGCATAAATTACAAGTTTAGTAATTCTTTCTATTTGGGTAATACAATTTAAAAATATAATTAGCTTCTAAAATAAACAAGAAATTATGGTAAAATGTATCTTTTATTTAATTTATGTGCTTTAGCAAGTTCCTTTATTGAATTTGTTTATGGATGTTATGATTTATTCAACATAAATTCACTTGTTGAATATAATCTAATTAAGTTATTTCCTTTCTTTTTCATTATGCTTTAATCGCATTTAGTTTGTTTATAGATGAATTTTAATGAACTCAATAAAACCAAATATTTTGAAATTTGATTTATATATTTTAATATTTATTTTTTAAATCAAACAGATATTATTTAAATTTTATCATGTTTACTTTTGAGTTTCTCAATTATAATTATTTAAATAATAAAAATGTTATTTCTGATTCATCCTAAATAAAATATTATTACATAAGATTCAAATACTTTATAATTATTAGTTTTTGAGATTAAAAATAAATATATGAATAAATACACCTTAAAATTCAAAGATAAATAAATCGAAGAATAATTTTAAAATATCCATTAAATTCCAACAAGATAAAAACACATAAAACTTATATCACTATTTTTCTTAACCCTATAAATATTCAAACTTATTACAAGTATATTACAAAAATAAGAAGAATAAATGTATGCTTTAATCTTTTTGATTGGAGCTACTTTGGTAATATACTTTTTCAAGATTACTTCCAGCTTTTCTTCAAATATGGCTCTTTGTTTCATTAATTTATCATTTACATTTTATACTGTTTATTATGATCCAAAAGATGAAATCACTAACTCTTATTATAGAGGAGCAAACCAAATGGTTTTCAATATAATTAACATTTTACTTACTGACTTTTTAGAATCAGCATTAATAACTATAATTATATTTGCCACTAGATCAATACATGTTATGTTATATGGAGATCATCCTGATATTTCTTATTTAGTACTTGGGCTTATAATTAATATCTCATTTCTTTATATTATATACACTTATCGTAGTGCTATGCGTTCATAATTTATTCTATAACGCACAGATAAATAATGGGAAAATATTTTAAGATAAATTATTTTAGATGAAAAGTTTTTGTTGATTAACTTTTATGAAGAAAAATTAAAGTTTTCTAAAATATTATCAACTTTATTTAAAGAAGAAGAAAAAAATGAAGATATTTCGGATTTTTTAAGAAACTCTTTCATTTAACAATAAACTTTGGAAACTTATTTATTTAATTAAATCAAGTTATTTCAGACTAATTATAATGAAATTTTTAATTAAATTATCTAAATAAAATATGAAAAATGTATTTTTTTACTCAGATATTCAATATTTTCAGGTTCAAGACCAACAGTTTTAATCTAATTAGCTAAAAATTAATATAAAATGTAAATTAAAAGTAATAATGTAAATACATTATTTCATCTTAAACTACAAATTAATTTAATTCGAATTATTAATGGTAATTAAAATTACAATAAAGATAAGTTTCGTAAAATAGCAAACAAACTTGTTTATTAATACTTTTAAGCAAAGCTGCTTTCTAAAAAATTTTCTTTCAAAACTTGCAATATAAAAAAGATAATAAAAGATTTAAAATTTTATTTTTTTCCCNAATAAGAAGAATAAATGTATGCTTTAATCTTTTTGATTGGAGCTACTTTGGTAATATACTTTTTCAAGATTACTTCCAGCTTTTCTTCAAATATGGCTCTTTGTTTCATTAATTTATCATTTACATTTTATACTGTTTATTATGATCCAAAAGATGAAATCACTAACTCTTATTATAGAGGAGCAAACCAAATGGTTTTCAATATAATTAACATTTTACTTACTGACTTTTTAGAATCAGCATTAATAACTATAATTATATTTGCCACTAGATCAATACATGTTATGTTATATGGAGATCATCCTGATATTTCTTATTTAGTACTTGGGCTTATAATTAATATCTCATTTCTTTATATTATATACACTTATCGTAGTGCTATGCGTTCATAATTTATTCTATAACGCACAGATAAATAATGGGAAAATATTTTAAGATAAATTATTTTAGATGAAAAGTTTTTGTTGATTAACTTTTATGAAGAAAAATTAAAGTTTTCTAAAATATTATCAACTTTATTTAAAGAAGAAGAAAAAAATGAAGATATTTCGGATTTTTTAAGAAACTCTTTCATTTAACAATAAACTTTGGAAACTTATTTATTTAATTAAATCAAGTTATTTCAGACTAATTATAATGAAATTTTTAATTAAATTATCTAAATAAAATATGAAAAATGTATTTTTTTACTCAGATATTCAATATTTTCAGGTTCAAGACCAACAGTTTTAATCTAATTAGCTAAAAATTAATATAAAATGTAAATTAAAAGTAATAATGTAAATACATTATTTCATCTTAAACTACAAATTAATTTAATTCGAATTATTAATGGTAATTAAAATTACAATAAAGATAAGTTTCGTAAAATAGCAAACAAACTTGTTTATTAATACTTTTAAGCAAAGCTGCTTTCTAAAAAATTTTCTTTCAAAACTTGCAATATAAAAAAGATAATAAAAGATTTAAAATTTTATTTTTTTCCCAATATAGCTAATAAGATTATTTTTTTTAATTAATAAAAAATAAATTAAATTATAACATGGTAAGATTTTTAGAAAATAGTGTTCAAATTAATACAATACCATGTATTTTAAAGCTTCTTTTATTAATAATTATCGAAAGCTCGATTAATAAAGTTATTTTTATAAAAGGCTTAACTATTTAAAATAAAAAGAATTATATTGGAATTCATAGTAGATTTAATATTTAAATATTTAATATTAGATACCAATAATTTGAACATTTTCTATAAGCCATTATAAAATCTATATCAAGTCACGAAAAAAGTAAAATTAACTTATTATATAGCGATTGAATTTGAGTTACATCAAGAATCTTTTTTACCCTATTATAAGCCAATTTTTTAGGACAGCAATAAAATTTCAAAACATTTTGATATCTGATAGATTTTCTGTTTATTGTTATTAATTTTCTTAATATTCTAGTTCACATTTTAGAAAATGATGCTAAATAGAAATAATACTAAATTTTAGTATTTAATTAATGGATTATATATAAAAATAAATAAAAATTAAATGAAATCGTTTAAAGTTTCTAGTGGAACAATGGATTTCATAAAAAATTAATCAAAAGATGTGAAATCGTCATAAATGATAATTGATAAAGCGAATGAGATTGTATATTTAAATATAAGACATAACATAGTGGAATAGATGAAAAAAACCTAAAATTAGTTAATCAACATCTTATGAACCATTTTTAATTGAAGCCAATAGTAAGTACAATTGAATAACCTAATAATCCTTTGCAAAAAATACGAAATCGTTCTAAAACTAAATTTTAATCATTATCACATTCTTAAATTAGTTAAGAGGTTGAGTCAATATAAAATTCATATTAATATACAGATTTACTTTATGAGAAAGATAAGGAGATAAATAATTAAAAGAATCATATTCAATAATTGACAGAGGAATTGTAAAAATTAACTGAATTGTTTGAAACAGTTAGAAATGAAAATTAATGTCTTAAAAATTAAGTTGATTAAAGTTAAAATTATCAATTAATCATTTCTAATTAATAGAAACAGATTTAGAAATTGTAGTAAGACAATATTGAATTAGAGATGATATTAAAAAACACATTATTGTAATAAGAAAGATAGAAGTTTTAATTTTAATCTTCAAAATAATCAGTAATAATAAAGAGAAACTCAGTAAATGCATAAAAATTAAAATTATTTGAACATAATTCTCTTAGTTTAAGCGAATAAATAAATAATTCTAATATAAATAAAAGTTTTATATCTTGTCCTGATAATTATAATTAAAAATAGAAAAGTCATAGAACAAATGAAAAAGTAAAAACTAATTAAACTGTACCTACACTTCCTGATTCAAAAATATATTCGAATGATTAATATAATAGATTAGGAAAAGAAAATATCAAGTTGAGATATTGATTATAAATTATTTTTGTCTTTATAAATTAAGTTTCACATCATATAATTATTAGAGATATTTGAGTAGAGTTCATAAAGTTTCTAAATTTCTAAACCATTAGACGTTTTGAAAATAATCTTTTCATTTTAAAGTTGTTTTATCTAAAATTGAAAATAAAAAGGAAATGGTGAAGGATTTTTAATTTCACTTAACAAGATTTCCATTTTTTTTTCCATATTATATATTATAATAAATCTATCAAATTTAACTCCTAAAGTAGAGTATGTTTCAAGTTAACATTTATATTATCTAATATTAATAATTATATAAATACTTTTAAAGTATGTCTTTAGTTGTATTAGGAATTTCAATATTAAAATGTTATAACCCATAAAATTAGTTCTATTATAGGGATTCCATAAAAAGCAATTCTGCAATATATTAAAATTGTTATTCTAATTTTTTTATACCTTGTAAATTTTTATCATGTTATTTTATAATTTATTCAATCTCTAATTTAACTACTCCTATAGCAGTAAAAATTTCTTGTATCCAAATTTATTCTTTTTCTTATTTAAAAATTTTATCTGGAATTAAATATTTAACTAAATTAATAGGTAAAGATGATTTTGTAAAAATCTACAAAATAGAAATTATATATTACATGTTTGAAATGTTCATAAAACTTAATAATTAGAAAGTAAATAGAGTAAACACAATATTATGAAAAGGTTAGTTTATATTTCATATTTTTAATATCATCAAATGCTTGATGACTTATTAAATCAAGTCTTACTAGATCCGATTAATAGTCTTTTTTTTCTTATTTTGAGGATAAATATAAATATTTTTTCAATATTAATTTTGTATCAGGTTTTTGTTTTTCTTTGAATAAATAAGAAATTTTGGTTATTAATCCTTCATTAATTTATTTATTTTTTTTAGTTTGTGGAATACAATCATCATCATCAAGAATTCTAACTTCTAAACCATCAATTAAAACTAATTTAAAATCTTCATAATTTTTTAATTTAATAGCTTCAGCTGCCATATCAATTAGATCACTAACTCTTAATTCAGGAGTTATTGGTAAAAAGATATAAAACTCATTAAGGAACATTATCTAAGAATAAAAATATATAAAAGATACTTTAATATTAATATTTGAATTAGTTCCTTTTAAACTTTTATGATGCATAGTTTATCTGACATAATTTGAATTTCTTGCAAATCTTAAAGTTTCACTAAGGGACACATCATCTGAATTAAATGAAGAAGATTTAACTGTATTTCTCAGATTTTCTCTTTCTATAAAAGATTAACTTGGACTAGTAGCCAGTATTTAATAAAATGAAGGAGGAAGTTCTAAATATTTTAATACTTAATCTGGATTTTATTTTATATAAGGAGAATTAAGAACAGCTTCTAAGAAATTTTCAATAATGATTTTTCTGGCTTCAATTAATTAAGTTTTCTTATTGCTTGCCCATTAATTTTTGCTTAAATGTGGAATGGACATTTCAGGAAATTCTTTTCTTAGAATAGTTTCTAACTTAATTAAACTACTATATCTTGTCAATAATGTTAAACTCTAAGTTCCAGCAGAAATCTATTTTATATTGTATATATACAATCATCACATAAACAGTATATGTCTAAAGAAGAGACTTTCTTACTTCTGTGCCTCTAGCATATACTTATATTGGCTAATCTTCTTAAACTTAAATAATTTCCCATTTTTAATATTTCATCTTTATCTCATTAATTAATGATTCAAATAAACTTAGTAATTTTTATTTTTATTCAGCATCCTAACATATAAATGTTATATTTTATTCCTAAGAGGATACTGTAAATAAAAATTTACAATATTGAGTTTCTGGTTTATTTTTACAATAAGATTTCTCGTTAAGGTAAAGATATTCATACAATTTTTCATGTTATTTAATTAATGTATTCTAATTTCTTTATGTTAGAATTATCATATCATTGCATATATAAACAATAACTGATTTCTATTATTTAGAAACTAGAACATTAATAGTTTCACTTTATAAATATTTTCTTGTTGATTCAACGATTGAAACATTTATAGAATCAAAAAATTATTTTTGCAATTCGAAAAGCATTTAATTTTTAAGAACACTAAAATAAATTTCCAATTTACTTGTCCATCAAAACATCAATTTTACAATTTACCTCAACGAATTTATTGAGACTAATTTATAGTTATTCATAATCTGGATGAGATTACCATGTATGTTTAATTAAGTCTTTAATTAATAAAACGTATTTTGGTAATCTCTAAACTGGCTTAATTAAATAAGATTCTAAATTGCCTCCTTTAAAAATATCAATCTCTTCTAATTCTTTTATGAAATCATTTAATTTCTAAATCTCCTTTCTTAATTAAGAAACAATCTCAATAGAAAAACTAGAAGTATATTCAAAATAGATTTTAAAAAATTAAACATATTTATCAAAAATCTTACCAAAACATGTATGTTAAGTAAAATTATTAAATCTTTCTAATTTAATGAATAAATATAATACCTGATATTTCAAATAAAAACTATTTATTTAATGAATATATTTGCTTTAAATTTCTAAATAATAATTTTAATTCTGCTTCTGTCAACATTTCTTATAATGGATCATGGAACTTAAGAATAATTAATTCCAAATCTTTAATATATGTAAATTCACTATCAACTAATTCTTATATAACACATTTTCTATATCTTGCCCACTTTTTTCTTTTTTCGTACTTTATCCGACATGAGTACATTCTATAATAAGATTAGATCAAAATTATTTATTTTCTAAAAGTTAAACAAATATTACATAGAAGCATCTCTTTATCCAACAATCTCATTTATATAATGATCAGCAGAATGAGACAATCTTTTAGAAACTAAATGAATATCTGATAGTAATTTTGATTATTATTCTTCTCCTTAAAAAAAGAAGTTCCCATTAATTTAAGGCATGTCAACATTTTCTAATTAATCAGAGAGATAACTATTATTACTCTCTAGAGTTAAACTTAATTGGTGTTGCATTTTTGCTTTAATTAATAATAATTATAATAGTTTATTTTTACAAATAAATCAATGTTATTTAATTCGAGGGAGTTTTTGAGAATCTGAGCTAATATTCCATATTTTTTAGAATTAAACAGATTTAGTTCTATCTCTCGATTAATTACCATGCTATTCTTCATATTACTCTTTAATTAATTATCTATTCACATGTTATTCGAATAGTCTCAAATGATTTTTACCTGGGTTATTGAGTTCCATAAAATTAAACAATCCTCCATCATTAAAACTAATTGCTCTGTTTATTTTTATAGACGAAGCTTTTGACCTTGGTGATGCAATATGTAAGAATCTGATTGATATATACATGACTTTACTATTCAAAAGGTTTTTTCAGCGATGAATTTATTATTGTAGGCAAAGTATTTGTCTATGTTTATGTTTATTTTATTTTCTATAGTATAAGATTTTCTTTAAGTCTCATTTTATCTTCTAATTATTTAATAAGATTAGGAGCATATGTATGGCAATAATCATCAACCTTAAACAATTAAATATTTACTTCAAAAACAAATGCAATAGTTTTCTTAAAATATTATGTTTTTGCTGTATATTTATATACTCTAGAAATAGATATTGATAAAGCTTCTTCACCAAAACTATCATTATCGCATGCAATTGTAACTCTTTAAAATTTGCCATCTTCATTTTCAGCATAAATCTTCAAATACTATAATATATATAAATTACTTCAACTTCTCCAGAGATTATAAAATAAACTTTATTAGCTTATTGATTCGCTGAATAAATTTTTACATTATTCAAAAAATTTTCTTTCTTCAATTTCTTTATAAATGGAATAAATTCAATTGGTTTAACATCTGGAAATTATATTCTAAAATATTCCACTTCTTCCTTATATTTAGCAAATTAGAATCCATAAACTGATATCTAAGTTTTAAAAATGTTGATACACCTCATGAATTGAAATAAAACTTAATGAAATAGCTGTGCAATCTGTTAAAGCCATTATTTTATATTTAGAAATAGGAGCTTTTTTATAGATGTCTTCTTAAAAAAGATGTTCTGATGGTTGTACTTTTGTTACAATTTTCGATTTCTTTTAATCATTTTAAATCAATGACAATGTTCCTTCAAGTAATATAAATACACTTTCAATTGAATCAGCTTTATTAAATAAATAGATAACTTACTTTAATGCTTATAAATTTATCCTTTTTTTAGATAGAGAAGTTAAATATACTTAATTGCACTTTGAGTGAATTAGTCTGTTTTTAAGACCTATTTATAAAAGTTAAAGAAGGGGAGACGATTGAGTTGTTGTTCATATTGAGAAGCAAATTATGGATTGTTAAGATTTTTTAGAATTGTTATAATGGTCTCATATTTGTTTATTTCTGTCATGAAAATTAATGCACATCCTGAAAAGAAATTAGAAGGAATACTAAAACAAGAATCACTCTTTTTGAATGCTAAATAAATGATTAAACAGTTGAGTATGAAACATTTGTCTATTATTCAATAGAGAAAGACATTCAAGGGTTACCAAGTATGGATTATCAAGAAAGCTCAATCAATCTTTATAATTACATTTTCAATCATAAACCTAAGCATTCAAACATGTAAATTATTACTGCTCATCCTCTAAATAAGAAAGCTAGAACCTTTTCATTTGATCTTTAAAAACAGTCACCTTTTGATATAAAATATAAACAATTACGTTTTGGAAGCAGATAAGGGACAAGAATACATATTAAAAAACAACAATAAATTAGAAGGAGAAGTTGTCATTGTACTAATTGTGGATAAGATAATACAAAAATTATACATCTCATGTATAAAGGTGCTATTCGGCATCACTAAGTAGAATATGCAAATCAATTAAAGAAAAAATAACAGTTTATAGATGATGCACTTCACTTTTGTAATTTTAAACTCTATTTTATTTCCTAGCTAAGAAACTCACTAGAAAGATTAATCTCTATAAATCTATGATCTCTTTAAATAACATTAACTTCAAAAAACGTTGTAATTCATGTGACACGCATATACCTTATGAATAACTCATGTAAGTCAAATAAATTAATTAATAACTTTTTCAAAGAAAAGACACTCAAACAAAAACTTAATTGAGACAGGCTTTCTTAATTAAAAGACAATAAACAATTAATGATAAATTTCTTCTTATCCCCATTTAAACCCTAAGAACAGTATAAGAACCTTAAATTCAAGTTAAATCCATCCCTACTTAACCCACAAATTCACCTTCAAAATCATCTAAATAAAAATTAATCAATAAAACTTTTGTTCCTGTTACTAGATCTATACTTCCTCAACTTACTCCCACTTCCTAATTTACTATTTCTAGTACTAAATCAATCGATTATTAATTGAAATATTAACTCAAATAATCTTTTAAATAATTACAACCATCAACTTTAGTATCCAAAAAGAATTCACTTTCTAATCTTACTAATCCATATCGGAATATTTCTTAATTAGACTATTTAATTAAAGTAAGAAAAAGAAAGACATAAAACTATTGATACTTTGTTTTATTTAAATAAACCAAAAACTTAAATAAATTAATTAATTATCAATATTTAAAATCTGTTTATGATAAGAATTCTTATTGTTTTTAACTCAAATCATTTTAGCAAAGTCTATAAATATATTTTAAAGCTATTTCCGTATTCACAATCTCTTAATCAATTTAAATTTATACTAATATTTTACTTAAATCTTCTAGCATTATAAAATTTAATAATTCCATCCTCTTAATTGTATACAAAATACAACTAAAAGCAATCGTACTTTAATAAAATATAGTTGTGTCATAATGTTATGAGACAAATCTTAATAAATTAAGAGTACATTTATATATAGCTGATAATTTCATTTTTATCAATGAATTATCAATAATATTTAACATTTTTTCTTTATAATATCTAAATTCTAAGTCTCTCATTAAATAATCGAAATTTGAAAAATAATTTGGTATTTCTATTTGATATTATATAGTTTATAAGATTTAAAATTGACATTTTGCAAGTTAATCTTCAGTTATTTTTTCACCACTTAATTAGACAAGTTATTATGAAGTCAAACAATAGATATCTTTTTATTTAGAAGCCAAACTCAAACAACTAATACCAAGACTTAAAAGTTCTTAATTGCTAAGACTAAATGGATATTGTTAGAGGAATTTGTCAAAAATGGAAATGGTTAAAAAATATGTTTCATTTGAAGTGTTATCATAAGAACCCAAAACATAACCCAACCAACATAAAAGACTATTTCTTTTCAATTCACAAATAGAATGATGTCTCAAGGATTCTTATGTCTATATTATATATAATCTATTTACATTGATATGATCTAATTTGAGAGGATATTAGAAATGTAAATGATAATTTTAGAACCATTACATTTATTCATAGTAAGAGTATTAGAATGGATTAGAATTACTTTGATTCATTACTTTCTATTCATAAGCATCTAAACAGATCCATTCAAATTAGAAATTATGTATATCCATATAATTCAATGACAGTTTTTTCTAAGGAGTAATCTTTTGAGAAATCAAAGATTTAGTTTTAAGATTATGAAATGACTTATCCATATTGGTAATATCAGAGAATTACATGTTAATAATTTAAATTATAAATTTACTTCATAATAATAATTTTGCTTTCTTCTTTCCATTAATTAATTCATAAATTTCATCATTATAATAGATTTCTAATAATTGTTTAATAGACTTCTTTTTTCTTGTTAAGACAGTGAGATCAGCTCCATTTTATTAAAATAACTTAAATAATTATGGATCTTTCTATTTAATTGCTAAATGAATCGGATAGTAACCTTTATGATTTGGACTATTAAGAATCTCTTAGGATATTTCTTTTTATTTAAATAAAGATTGTAATTCACCAACATCCCCCTCATCAATCAATTAAAAAAAATACTTTTAAAAGTCACTTAATTTAGATTCTTTATATCTTTCTCTTAATTCTTATAATGTTAATTAAGAATCATGCAATCTTTAATTAACAACTTATTTAATTTATTAAGTGTCTCTTAAATTAGCTTGACTTGGTTATCTTTTTATTGCAGGAAAATAAATAAGTTATAAAGGTTGTTTTTATTTTTGATTGGTTCTTTAAAGATCTTGAATAGTAGGATCTACTAAATAAGTACCATTAAAGACTTTGCAAGTATTTAATTTAGATTTAAGTACAATTTTGCTTATTTATAAATCTAAATTCTATACAGATGTTCTTCTAATTGATTAAGTTCTTGATCTTCATGAGAATAATCTGGTTTCTTGAAATAGATAGGAAATCCATTAGATTTAACTTTTGATTTAAACTAAAATATATAAAATTAAAAAAATACTTTGGATAATATTTTACTAGCATCTCCTTCAAGTTTTTAATTCTTAGTGCTTAGAGATTAATGAAGGAGATTAAGTTCTTCATTCTTTAATTAACTTACATTTAATAAATTCATTGAAACAATTCTTTAATCTATATTCCCACTTTTTAAATATTCTTACAAAGCTCTTTTGTGAATTTAATACATAAGATTCTCTCCTACATGTAATTTATTTTTAATAACAGGTAGAGAAGATGATTAAGATAAATTACTCATTATTTTTATATTAATATTTTAATGATATATTTTTGATCATTTGCTTGGTACTAGTCCTAAAAGGGATTTATAATTTGTCAATTAATGAGGAAGTTCTGCAAGCAATTCTCTTTATAAAATGGGCAAACTATGAGAATAAGGAGCGAATGGAACAAATTAAACGACATTTCTAGTCAAGACTTCCTTTTATAATTATTTCTAATCCTAATCTAAGAATTCAAGTTTTTTGAAATCAAAATCTCCTACTCCAACTAAAATAATTGATAATGGAACATTTGCACCTATTATAAATAACAAATAAATATACATTAAGCAATAATTTCTGTAGTTTAATGTAAATCATGTATTTATCCACAAGTCAAAATTAATAAAACAGTATAAATCTTCTTTTTAGAATTAAATTCTGCTATTTATTTAGCATAATTTAAAATTTCACCTAAACAAGCAGGTCCAGAAAATTGTAAATTAGGTAATGTTTATTTATATAAATTTACTAATCCTTCTAAACCATAAACTTCTGGTTTTTAAAAGTCTCCTGTTAATGGAAAACTGTAAATAATTAAAAATAAATACCATTATTCAGTTTCATTAACATTATAATTAGGTAAATGCGGAACAGCCCCAAATCCATACATTGCTACTTTTTTATCATAATCATAATTCAATAATATTTATGCACATGCTTTAATAGCTGTTTCATATTGATTTCCATTTTAAGTTTTAAAAGCATGTAATGAATCTGGAAAATTAGGATTACCATTTTAAGCTGTATAATCAACACCAATAATTAAATTAATTTATTCTCCATCTTTTAAGAAATCCATAAATGTTGGTCTCTTAATAACCTTTTTCTCTTTGAGAATAATCTTACCTCCAGATTTATTAGCTTAATATTCTAAATTGAATTCAGTTTTATTATCATTAATTATATCATGAATAGATGTTTCAAAATAACCCATATATTAATTATTAGTTCCTTTTTCATGAACATCCCAACATTCAACTTTAAATTTCTATCCTAATTATCCTCCACACAATCTTCTAAATGATATTTAAAATGGTTTCCATTCAGGATTTAAATTATCTTTAATCATTTCTGTTTTATGAACAGGTAACCAATCTTCACCTACTTTTTTATAGAATTTTAAAAATGGATCACTTTTACCAAAGAAACCATCAGTACTATTATATTAATATTTATCTTCTTACTTCATTAAATCTTTTCCAATCCAACTCAATTATAAAAATTGATTATCCTCTGGCTATTTATCAATATTCACTATTAAAGTACCAACTGATTATCCTTTCAAACCTTTTAATTCAAATTCACACTTCATGTCTTTTGCTCCAACAATATCTGCTACTGTTGTCTCAACTTATCCCATCAATTAATCTTCTGATCCAGCAGATTAATTTTTATCCCAAACCTAAAACACTAACTTCTAATTCAACTCAAATATATAATCTATCTCAAAGGTCTTTTCCCAATGAGGATCCAAATTATTCTTTAAAAACTCTGTGTCTCCTTCATTTTTCTCCTTTTCTCCTTATATTGTATGCAAAAGCCTACAAAAAGGATCACTTTTTGAAAAAGTATCCATATCTTTAAGATTCTTTGCTTTTACAAAGATCTCTAATTTATACCTCTCTTCTGGAATGTTTTTATTTTAATCCATCTATTATTTTTATAATTATCAAATCAATAAACAAATAAACTTCATTATAATAACATACTAATACAATTTAATATATATATATCATATCCTTAAACATCTATTCTTATTAAACTCTCTTAAACTATAAGAAAATTGTTCTCAAAATTATAATTTACTACAATTTTATTTTTTTTATTGTCACATTATTCACAAATTTCAATTTCATACGTTAATCTGCTATTTTTATAAAATACAATAATGTGTCAAAATAAATTTTCATTAAATTATTTTTATTGTTAATCAATTATTTACAAATAGAATTAGAAAATAATTATTATTACATAATAATATCTTTAAATATTTATCATTTATTAATTTAATTCCATGATTAAACATGAAATTCTTTTGGTAATCTAAGGAGAGGCTTTGAAAAATTGTTTTTAACAGTTTATTTTGTATTAGTACATTTAGCAATTTTAGCAAATTAAGATTTAGTTTTATTATCTTGATCCTCATCTTGTAATTTTCCAAAACTCCAATTTTAATCGTTTTGAATTACTTTAGTTTAATTATTTTTATAAAATAAAGGGACTTAAAATTCATTTTGTAAAGGAGAGTTAATAATAGGAAATCGAGTATCAGGAGAATATAATTAAGCAGATTTAGGTGGATATTATGAAGCTATTTTAATATTTTGTTTTGGTGGTGAATTTTTATTCAAGAATTTAGCGATAAGATGTTCTTTTCTTTCACTTTCTTCAATTAAAGACTTTTTTTTTAATTCAAGATAATGTATGATTTCAATTTATTATTTTGGGGAAAGTAAACGAGGACTTTAAATGAGTGTAACATTTGTATTTGACTTCTTTAACCTTGCACTTTACTCTCTACTTGTATCAGGAATTCCTTTCTTAAATTTATTTGTATAATACTTTTTTTATTAATTTATTTGGATTCATATATTTAGTAAAAGGGTATTCTATGGCAGTTGATTCAAACCTACTATCCCAAGAATTTAGATCTTCACGAATTTCTTCTTTAATTTAACTGTTCTTTAAAGAATCTGATGGAAGCTATGTGTTCAATTTCTTAGCTGAAGATGACTAAGAGATTTTGGCTTTGGTCTTCATTATAAAATATAAAAATTATTAAATGATTACTAAACTATACTCAATCCATTAAAATTATCTTCTTATTTTTCAATTATAATAAAATTACTGATCAAAATAATTAGAATAGCATTTAGAATATACTAATATATGAAATGAGATAATATTATTGATAACCAATATTTTGTATTTGAGTACAATTGTAAGTAATTAGTTATAAATAATATAAAAATAATCATCATTCACTAATTTAAATATATTCTTCATATTGAGTAGATTTCTAACTGTTTTATGAATGAAAGTGAACATAAACATAATTGGACATTTGAATAGATTCACTTTTACTATATATTTTTATTTCAGTAAAATTTGAGTTTGCAGATTCTGTTTCTTGAATTCCTTCACTTTCTGATTCAGTAGATGATTTATTACATTCTTCTTAAATGAATTTTTGAGACTTTATTTTGGGAAAGTATTATTTCTTAACTTATTTATAAAATATTTTGAAATTCTCATCTGAACTATTAAATAATAATCCATAAAGAGAAAACAAATCAACTAATTTCATTATTCCAATTTAACTCCTAAGATTTTTCAAAAAAACTTTATATTTAAAAGTCCTTTAAATTGTTTTAGATATACATTTATAGAGAAAACACAATTGTTAATTTTGTTTAATTCCTGAGATTTCTCCATAATACACAATAAAAGCAATAACCTTATTATATTCATAAACTGATTGTATTTCTACACTACAGTAAATATGTGATTATGCACTATTCTTAATTCCTTATCTTAATTATGATATCATTTCATGATAATCTAATTTAGGAGATAGAATTAGAATAAGATCATGGGCTAAGGTCAAATACTCCTAAATTATACTGTATATTGGAATATCATGGAAGAATAGCAAATCTAAAGACATAGATAGCTTATTTTACTCACAATTGCAGTATCTAATTTAACTGTAATATCTGATTTAGTTACATAGTGTATCTTGTTATTACAATTCAATATTTCTATTCCTTTATCTAAGATTGGACGATAGACTTAGGTTTCTTCAATGAAATATACTTATTAACTTGAAGATAAGTGTTTAAGTAAGAAACTTCCAGTTGGATCATGAGCAATCAATAGTTTATCATTCTTAATTCTTCTGTATGTTAATTCAGTTATTATATTAGGAATAAGTGATCTAACAAATTTGATTTCCTATTAAGGAGCAATCTAATAAAAGAGATATGAATATTTTAATACTTCTAAGAAAGACTTTATATCATAAAGAATTCTCATAATAAATGCTGTAAATGTATCTTTCAATTTACTCATTGATTATTAATTTATATTGATTAATTTCACCAACAATCCATCTCCTTAGTGCATTAATAAAGACTCTTCAAAATCAGTTTTTGATTCCTTTTTAAACATTATATATATTACTTCTAATTTAAAACTAGGTGAAATTTCACAAAAATCAAACAACTAAGACTTTTCTTAATAATTTTTATCGTATTCCCACAAAAAATCTGTGTATTCTTGACTGACTCTATTGCACTCTTGAAAATTATTTATACTGTTTCTATTATCATTATTATCTAATCTCATATTAGATTAAAGAGAAGTTCCATGTGAATTTTTTATATGTTCTTATTTATCATTTTCATTTCTCAATCCACAAAGACAGAACATAAAAGTAATTTTTTTATTATTTTTTTTATAACAGAATATATGAATGGTATTGCATATCCTTTCGATTTACTATAAAATGAAGACAAACTTCATTTGTTTTAAAATATAAAAGCTAAAATTTATGGATAAAATGATGCTTAAATTTCAATTGAACCTATAAATGGATCTCTTTTTATTACTAATATTAGGTTATGTTGGTTTAATTTTCCAAAAAAGATTGAAGAATTGAATCCATAAGAAAGATAATTAGTTGAAACAATTCAAACTAAACATGGATAAAAAAAAGAATTATGGTAATAATTGAATCTAAATGGAAAATCATTTATGTTTATTTATTCTCGATTATTATCACATGGATTATAAGCAAATAAATTCCGTTGTTTTATAGGAGAATTAGAAGCTGAGGAGGATCTTTATGCTTAATAAACTAAATCTACTGGACTTGAGGATTTCTTAGAATAATAAAACCCTGCTAATATAGTAGATTTAGAAAAAGGAAAATATTAAGTATTTATTTATCTATTACTTAGATTGAATTTGATCTATAATTTCTAGATATACAAACTCAAAATGAGATATTTGATTTAGTTACAGAATATTCTATAATTTAAGACGATCCCAATGATTCTGATCAAAGCTATTGATATTTTGAAATAAATATATAGTAAAAAATATAATTAACTTAAATGAATGAATTGGATGATAATGTCTTATAAGAAAATTCAATCAGTATTCCATAAACGATTACAACAAAACTATTTCAACAAAAACACTCAATTCAAAAATAGATGTATAAAATCAAGACACCTTCGAATTGTTAGAAATTATTATTAAGACCGAATGGAAATATGTAAAAAATAATTATTAAAAAAACAATAGTATTATTGTAAGTGTTATAAAAGGAGATTTCACTATCCTTTAAGATTGTAAACTTTTTATAAATTGCAAAAACTATATTTCAATTCCAAGAGACTTTCCAGAAGATGATCAAACTACTTATAAAGGAGGTCTTGATGGTAATCATTTTTTACCTTATGGATATGGTACTTTTGAAAATCAAAGTGGAATATTTAAGGGGAATTTTAAAGATGGATTCGCTTTTGGTTCTTGTGTTTTTGAATTGAAATAAAAGAATTATCGATAAGAATGTGTATATCAATGGGGTTAAAAGCATGGTTAATGTACAGAGATTAATGAATAATTTAAATCCATTGGATTATATGAGAATAATCTAAAACATGGAATATTCGTTATAAAAGATCTTAATACTTAAAATAGATCTGAATAAGAAAGAAAAGAATTTTATAGAAATGGAATAATGAGAAATATAGGAGAAACTAAAAACAATTAATACAGACTATAATAATAAACTACACGATATTTATTATACCATAAAGATTATTCTATTACTAATTTCTCTTTTAAAGGATTTAATTATGGAGAATGGCTTAATTAATTAGGATTAGATTACTATCTTTAGTTAGTTGATGATTATTATAAAGTTACTCATAATAAATTAGTTTGTCTCATCAACACTGTTGAATGCTAAGATATATTTACAAGTTTAATCACCTCAAAAGATTATAAAGCTTCTATTTTACCAAAACTTTTAGAAGTTAATGTTCTTCTATCTGAAATTAAAAAACTAATATTTGTGATGAATGTAGATAGAGGACATTTCTTATTATTGGTTTATTAAAATTCATTTCTATACATTTTAAATTCTATCAGAAATAAATAAGATGATATTATATTAGATAGAGTAGCTAAAATCTTTCCTTAATTTTAAAATCAATCTTAAAATAACAAAAAGCTGAGTATACCCATACCTTAACAAAATAATGGTTTTGATTGTGGGATTCATACAATCTTTAATACATTACTATAATACAAATATATTGATAAAGATGTTAATTAAATAGATTATACAACAAATAACAAAATTATGGAATAGTTAAGAAAACATGTAAAAAATGTTCTTTTAGATGATTATGCCCATATAATTCCATAATTTTCAAATAACAAAAGTAATCATAGATATTGAATATCCATATTTTATTTTATTTTTTTGGCCTCCTATATTTTATTAATCTGAAGTAAAATCTTGTCTAAAATTATTATTATTATAGATATTACATTATAACTTTAAAGCTGAATAATAATTCTAATAGACATCAAAAACCATTTCCAATTAATTTAATGCTTCTTCATATTATTACAGTTTATAATAGCATTTAGCAATAAGGACATGCAATTAAATTAAATATTAATCATCCTTTACTACATTCATAAGTTAATTTATGCAATCTTGGTATTATTATTTCTTGAAAAGTATTAATCCCTTTAACTAGATCAAATCATAATGTTCTTATTCATCAAGTAATTTTAAGTCTAATTTTTTTATGATTTCTTCTGCTTCATTCAATTGATTAATCTTTATACTTATTTAAACTTTATAATTAAAAATAAATATACTTTTTCTTAAATATCCAGCTCCACAATTCGAATCCAATTTCAAAAGAATTTCACAATATTATAAAGACTATTCATACTCTTCTAGCTTCATGTAAGTATTAACCAAACCCAATACAGTATTATATACTTAATTATCAATCTAATAAGCTGTTAAAAAATAAAGCTTTGCCGTATTATATTTATATTCACTATAAAGTTCATTTCCTAATTTTGTTAAGAATTTAGGTATTATACTAATGAACTGAGAACATTTTGTATATAAAGAAATAGCATTCGTATGATCTTCCATGCAATAATATGTATATCCTTTATAATAATTTCTTAAAAAAACCTAATTCTCCCATTGCAATTGGATTATTTTGATCAATACTTAAAATCTTGTTAAATACTTATATTGCTTAATTATAGTTCCCTATTTAAGTCTGCAACTTGCCTTATTGTTATATTTTTAATAAATACCTATTTTTATTAATATTTCATTTTTCTTCTCGCCTTTATCATATGCTAACCAATAATAGTTTATTGATTCTTTAAATAGTCCAATCTTATGTGCCAATAGAGCTTATTTTATCAAGATTGATTATGTCTATTCACATTAATTATAAAGTTTTTATGCTTCTTCATATTAATTCTAATTTATCAATTCATCAGCCAAATTTTCCATTTTTATAATAAATTCTCATGTTTACAAAGTATGATTTTTGTACTTAAACTAAGTTTTTCTTGGTTTTTTAAAAGAGACACAACTTTTGACCTTCATTTTGATAATGAGGATTTATAATTGACCACATTGTTAGATGATGATAATTTAATTTGTGAAGCACAATATGAAAATAAAAAAATTTTCGATTTGTAATATTTTGAATCGATTAATAGTATTTAGAAAGATCACATACTTGAATTAATCAAATATATAACACAAATGCCTGAAGATGATTCAAATTCAAAAAGAGCATATCGCTATCCTTTTTATTCAAGTAAACTATTAAATTGCATTGGTAAATATAAACCTGAGTTTTTTGTATAAGATGATAAGTAAGTTAAATCTGTTTATTATGAAGATTTTTTCTTTATAAGATATTCAACTTTTTTCAACAAGATTAAGATGTTAATTCAGTATTAGTTGCATATGTTGTAGATTTACTACAATAAATTTCAATTGAAATTGTTGTCAATGAATTTTTTGAAAATCAAAATATTTAATAAGGAATGATAAGATAGTTATAATCTCGCTCAGTATCTGATTTTTTAGTATATTTACTTTAAGAAAAGATTTTTGATGAATCTAAATATAAAAATAAAAAAATCAATTTGTTATAAAATATTTTAAGAAGATTAGATGATTCAACCAATTTTGAAGTATTTTATATATTTTAATAATAGATATCCTCTAATATTTCTTATATAATATAAGAAATGATTAAGGAAAGAGATCATCCACAATGGTATATAGATATTTTTTTTGGAGAATTTATTGAAAATCTCTGTAAACAAATAATTAAAAAGAATAATTATCTTTCTCTTTAATCAAGTCGAATACTTTTTAATTTGCTTTTTTATATTGAAGAAAATAAAAAAAATGAACAGTATAGAAAAGAATTTAGTATTGTGATTGATACAGATATAGTTTTTTCAAAAATAGTAACATATGTTGGTGATTGGATTGATTTTTTATTGTTTTAGAATTCTCATATTTTAGGGGAATAGAAACTAAAAATCCTTGAAATTATTGGAGTTGGAGTTTCTTTAAAGAATGAATCTTTTATTAATAAACTTTATAAAAGTAATATCTTTAAAGTTTATAATTAATTATTTATTACTTATGAGTAACATGACATATTGCATTTTTAATATTACAATTTGATAAATAAGATAATAGAAAATTAGATTGATATTCTAATCAAGAATGTATAAATATAAAAATAAAAATTTAGTTATTTGAAGAAAACAATTTTATTGAATTATTAATATAATGCACAAAATTAGAAAAAAATAATGAGATCTAAAGAAAAGGGTAATTGGGATTTATCACACTGTTGGGAACTTTTATAGAAGAGTAAGTAGAAAAATACTAATATTTAAAATAATTGGTTGAAACGGAATAATGGGAATAATTTAGAAATCAATATTTTGAGAAAGCTAAAAAAATAAATAGTTTTGAATTAGGATAAGAAGGAATTGAAGAGTTATTGAACAATAAAGATAATTTATAAGAGGAAGAATAATAATATTAAGATAATAATAAAATGAATGAAAAGAAAGAGAGTGATTGATTTTGTTTGATATAAATATTGATTGATTTAAACTTTATAAATAGAAATGATTGGATGGAGTAAGAAAGTTTAGACAATCAGAATTAATGATGTTATTAAGAAATTTGAGAGTTGAAAAACAAAATTTAAAATCTTTTAAATATGGGTAAGAGAATTAGAGCACAAAGAAAAGGAAAGTCTAACAGTGTATTCAAGGCACATCAAAATTAAAGGGTTGGTAGCCCATAATACAGACATCTTGATTATGCTGAGAGACATGGCTATGTAAGAGGTGTGATTTCAGAAATCATTCATGATCCAGGAAGAGGTGCTCCATTGGCTAAAGTGGAATTTAATGATCCATATAAATACAAGAAGGTCACTAAACTCTTTATTGCTCCAGAAGGATCTTACACTGGATAATATATTTATTGCGGAGCTAAAGGTAAAGATAATTTATTAATATTACCATTTTAGCTCAATTAGCTACAGGAAATGTACTTCCTATTGGTTAAATCCCAGAAGGTACAGTAGTATGCAATTTGGAGGAGCATCCAGGAGACAAAGGAGCTTTGGGAAGAGCTACTGGTTGTTATGCTACAATAATTGGTCATTCAGATGATGGAACAACTACCAGAGTTAGATTACCATCTGGAACAAGAAAAACTCTTAGTGCTCTATGCAGAGCTACAGTTGGTATTTGAATAATCAAAAAAATTAGGTTTGATTGCTGGAGGAGGTAGAACTGAAAAGCCTATTCTTAAGGCAGGAAGACAATTTCATAAATATAGAAGACTTAGAAAATGCTGGCCAAAAGTTAGAGGTGTAGCTATGAATCCAGTCGATCATCCTCATGGTGGTGGTAACTAACAACATATTGGTCATCCATCTACACTTTCTAGATATGCCCCACCAGGATAAAAGGTTGGTTTGGTTGCTGCCAGAAGATCAGGTCTACTTAGAGGTGGTGCTTAACTCAAATAAATGGACGAAGATTTAGCAGCATAACAAGCAAAAAAATGAGATTTATTATCTATTATCGTACAATAAAATTTAGCATTTATTATTTTAACCTTTAACTTCCATTTATGTAATATATAATCATTATTTTTTTAAAAATTTCTCATTTTCTTCCAATACTTTTTTAAATATCTCTTTAGGAATCTTATTGAGAAGATTATGCATTACTATACTATTAAGTTTTAACTAATCTCGTATTTTATCGATTTCATTTAATTCATTCTAATATCTCTACACTTCTTTTTTTTACTCATAACTTAAATATATCAGAATAATTCCATTTTTTATAGTATCTGCTATCACTTCTTCCTCTGTTTATATTATTACTTCTGTGTCATTATATTTAAACCATTTATTCAAACAGAAATTAAATTAGTACAAATAATAATTACTTTCTGATCCATTACATGCTTAAGCAACTATTTATGCTAATTAATAAAAATTCTTTGAAGAATCTTACAACTCCTTATTTAGAATATCGCAATTGTTTGGAAATTATTTTTTCAATTCTTCAACTTTTTTTTAATGTTCAAATTTCAAACTTTTCAAAATAAATTCTTCATACATAGGTTAAGATTCATAATAAGTTACTACATTCTCAAATGCTTCTGCTTACTTATTTACTATAAATATCATCTAAATTATTTACATTAGTAATACATAGGTAAAGTCTTCACTTATTCTGTAATATATTTCTAAACCTTAAGAGAAGCTTATTTAGAAGTCTATTTATCATCTAAAACAAAATCTAAGTATAACTTTTATGGAAAATAAAATTTTTCTTCTGTTTTCTTATTTTATTGAATATCTCTTTCTATTGTGAAAATTAAATTTTCTGGTAATTCTTTTATTTTATTCTTATTCTCAATGATTTCTTTATACAAAAAATTGTATATCTGATAATGTTTTATACTCATAACCAATTAAATTTGATTCATATTATCATTCTTTATTGTGTATTATTTTTCTAAATATTCGTTCATGAAAATATTTTATTAATTATGCTGCTTTTCTAAATTCTTGCTAAGAGAATAATCTATAAGTTTCAAAAAAATAGTAAAATATTCAATTATATCTCGAAAATTTTCATTTAATACCGAAGAGTTTAATATTTACCTTTCAAAATCTTTTATTGCTTAATAGAATTCTGTCGGCTTAAAATATTGTTAATTTGAGATTAGTTAATTTGCAATTACTATCTAAAATAAATTCATAAATTAATTGTTAGATTAAGATAAATCGCCAAAAGAAGAGTCTAGTTTTTTATATTACAAAATTTATTCCACTAATTTAGGATTATAAAAAATAATTTGTAAAAGGTAACTAAAATTGCAACCATTACCTAAGTTTGAAATCCCTACAGGGTATCCTTTATTTTTTTTTTTTATTTTTTCAGGTTTATCTAAAAATTAATCTAATCTTTATTTTTAATCATTATAATTTTCTGAAAAATATTCGATATCAAAATCCTAATAATCCTAAAATATAATCGCATACATCCTAATTTTGGTAATATTGATATTGTCCTTCTAATAAATCATCTCCTCCCAAAACTTATTCCATTAATGGCTTATCCCAATTACACTAATAACCTATTTCTAAGACTAGCTCTTCTTTCTTTTCTTTTTCTTTTACAAAATAGTCTATTATTTATTTTTATTTTGTTTAAATTGACATTTAATATTTCCAAAAAACAAATTATAATTATTCAATCTAAATCTCAAAATAATATATATATAAAAAGATCAATACTAACAAAAGACATATTCTTCATCTTTTTCATTTGGATATTTTAAAATCAAAATTTCTATTAATCACAAAAAGAATTTAGATAGCATTTTAAAATAATAAATATTTTGCTAAAAAAATGTTTTCATGAAATTTTTCATATTTAATTCTCAGTTAATTAAGTTTATTCATTTAATTTAATTTCTTCAGCGTAGACTTATGTATTAATAGAAATATCATTAATTCCAATTTATGATTTTTCGCCATTCAGGTTTCCAACTTAATCCCTTTATCTATTTGAATAAATTTTTAAATTCGATCTTCTTAAAAAAAATACAAGTGATAATAATGATACTAATAGAAATATGCTAAAATAAATGTAGTTTTCTGCAACAAAGTCGTAAAAATAACTATTAACTTCAATGTAAATCTTAATTTCATTAACTTCAATAGAAGATTTCGGATTAGCAAAGCTTTTCTAATATAATTCAACTTTACAAGTAAAAATACCTGATTCTTCAGTTTTAAATATTATAAAAGCTGGCAAAAAATGCCAAAATACAACCTAAAAAGATTAATCTTACTAGAGAATTAATTTGTTATTTTATTGATAACCTATAATTTGAGTGCAATTAGTTTAATATTTTGACATATTGATTAAATTAAGATCATAATCATTTTTATCAATACCAATAATTTTGTGATAGAGATATCCATCAGATATAAATTATAGATATTATTAATAAATTGAAATACTACTGATTTCTGAATTTATACTAATTTCTTAATTGACTTGAAGGTTTTTCCAAAAATATTCATAAATTTTAGTTCTTGTTTGAATAATAAGAATTTAATGCGAATTTATAAACCTTACACATTCTTATAAAATAATTTTATTACTGATTTTAGGTACTTAAATAGAATTAAATATTATTAAACCTCCATCAAAAAGTAATAATAATCTATTAGTTTAGATGGATGCTTGTAATATATTTTTTTTGGCCATAAAATTACTTAGAATAAGTACTCCTTAAAAATTAAGTAAATCAAATCCCTCAAAACTTTTAGAGATCAGAATGTACATTTAAATAATTCTAATATCTAATATAATACCAGTGAAGTTATATTTTAATTCAAAAAAATTATTTTATTCGATTCTGTAAATAATCATCGAATCTGGATAAATTATTGCCAGATAGTCCTAATCTCGATCAATTAATAATTAAATGCAATTGGGCTTAAAATCCTCAAAACGAGAAGAACTTTTATATAGAATAAATTCTAAAGTGCAATTTTTATGTAAAGCAAATATAGTGAAATCCTTATTCTTCAAACCAATAAATGAACCATTAATTTGTTCCTAAAAATAAAATTCTGCTCTTGATTCTTAATATGTGATAGGCTGCAATTGTTATAAACCTTCAATTTCATTCGACAGAACTCTTATTCCAAAATATTCTTATCTAGAGTTAGAATGTCATTTACTATAAGAAAGAGATATTTCTTTTTGCCTTATTCACTTTTAAAGAATTATGGTATTCGTCATAATTCACAGCATACACAGCAATTAACAATTTTGCAATAAGGAACATTTGCATTTTTTATGAAAATTTAGAAAAAAAAACAATAGAATGAATTCTAATATTTTAAATATGTAAAATAATAATATTGTTATTGTAATTCAATTTCAAATAGATGTTGTACCATATAAAATTTTAGCTTAAATAAGATCTGCTTTTTATTTTGCAAATCCAAGATCCTTCATGAAATATGTAGAATTAGTTTTTTTATTGATGAGTTCATAAAATGTTTTATCAAATTTGTTTTTAAATAAATGAGTCTATTTAAATGCTCTCCCTTTTTTAATGAAATAGAACAATGCAACTGTTTCCATAACTTAAGCAAGTAAATAAGAAATTGGCTCTGAAACTCCCCAATCATAAATTCCATAAGTTAAGTAAAGTAAAAAGAAATACTAAATCAAAGCAAAAACTATGAGTTATTTTAATAACTTATGACCTTACTATAATATTAAATGATATAAATTACTCTAGTTGCTTCATCTGTTACTTCTGCTACTATTTTTTCATAATAAACTATAACTTAATCCAAATTCTGTAGTACATTTTATTGTAATTGCCAGAATTAAGAAGTTGTTGCATTCTCTTCAGCAAATTTAGCCAAAGCCTTCTGAATGGCATTTTCAATTTCAATTGGACTATGGGATTATTTGTTAGGATTTAGATTTTAAATCATTAATTCATGGAATCTAGCAATAATCAAGGCATCAAAATAAGGAATTTCAAGTTATGAAAATGCTGTTTCTAATTCTGAATTCATATAATATGGTGCACATCCATTTAAATCTAATTCATATGAAAAATTAACATCATCAATATTAATAGAAGGAGTATTATGCAATACCAAGTCTACAAAAGGTAATTATTATTCTGTAATATCCTTATCTCCCATTGTGATTTTAACATTTTAGAAACCTTCCTCTTCTTATTTTATTAATTGAACAATATCTATTGTAGTGGCATGATGAGGGATCTTAAAGATTTTTGCAAATCCTTTTGGGTAATGCAACTTAAGATTAGAAAGTCGATAGAGATGACTTATTTTATTTAACATTATTATATTTAATTTAAATATCTTCTGATATAATAAGCCAAATAAGTTAAACCAATAATTATAATATATTTGTTTAATAACCTTTCAAGATTTAAAGTTTTATACATTAATTATCACAAAAAAATGCAACTTTTAGGAATATTTCTGAATTTTTAAGCAAAAAGAGAGAAATTGCCAAAAGTATTTGTAATGACTATCTATCATTTAATTATTATTCAAATTATGTTATATAATACTGTAGTTCTTCTCAAGATCACTACAAAAAGCAATATCAAATAATAATTGATTTTTTGTGTAATTTGTTTTTGCCGTATCTTTAAAGTACTAATATTTCAATTGCTTATCATTTATTTAATAGTAAAAAAATTAGAATTTTTATTATCATATTTGTAACGGTTTTACTTGGAAACAATAAATTAATTTTGTTATGAATATAATTAAATACCTATTTTTAAAGCTTTTTTATATAAATCAATTCATAGAAACTTATCTTTAGAAAATAACTTAAAATAAATCCAACAATTATTGAGATTATGAATAGAAGTAATAATTTTATTTATTAATACATTAAAAAGATTGCTTAAAACCATTATATAATAAAATAAAGATTAGCTTTTTATAACAATTAGCTTTATGTAATAATAAAATAATGTGTATTTCCATTATAATTTGAATAAAAGCAAATTTTTACTAACTATAGAATTTATTTTATTACAATATAATTATTATATAAATAAATTTTTTATTAATCTTTTGTTAGATTAAGACTAATATATGTATATATTTTTATCAAATTTTCTAATGATTCCATAATGAAGTAGATAATAAAAAGGATTGCTTGTAAATTATATTAAGAAATTTTTAAAATTACAAAATATTGGCACATCAATTTAATTATAATATTTTTATGGAATAATCTTTCTTGAACAAATAAGTGAAATCAGATAATTGGCTATTTAGTGATATAACACCACTAATAATTAAGATAAATGGTATGAATGAACAAATACAAAATAATGACCTAAAGAAATTTGTTATAAAAGAGTCTGATTGTGAAGATATCCTACAAGAATTAAAAGAGTATACTATTTATCAATTTAATTAGTATTTTACAATAAAAGCCAAAGCATCTTTACAGAAAAATCTTTCGACACTTTTTTCTTTTTAGAACTCTAAAATTATTAGTAATTTAAACAATGATAGATATTATAATGTTAGGAAACTTATTGATGTTGAATTATGCAACAGATTCTTTAATAAATTTAGATAGATAATAATTGTATAAACCCATATTGTCAATATGTGGTATAATTTTTCTCTCACTTCTCAAGTATTTAAATGATTATATAAATAAAGAACATATTTTAATGCTAAAACAGATCAATTTGTAAATTTATTTGTGCTTCGACTTCGAATAATATCAGAATATCTAATATATAATAAAGCATTGAGAGTTTAATGCATTAGTAGTAAAGGTGAGAGTGAAAGTCATTCGGCTAATATTAATGTAAAATTGAATTATATTTTAGACTCTATTAACTGCAGACTTAGATCAAATTATGTTAATTAATTATACTATCAGAGATACTTGGGAAGCCGTTCTTTTAATTACTGGATGTTTAATATTTTTATATCATCTTGATTCTCATGCAGGTACTATTGTAGTGATTACAATGTTATGTGCTTAAGTTTTTAATCTAATAGTTACTGTAGTAATGATGAGATCTAAAAAGAAAATGTTGAAATGCAAAGATATGAGAGTTGGATTATCAACTGATGTTATTGAAGGAATGAAGTAAATAAAATATTTGTCATGGGAAGATACTTTTAGTAAAAAGATTATGGGATTTAGAAATTGGGAGTTTTTTATGCTTGCCTTATTAAAAGGATTTGATGGATTATGTTCAATATTTTGGAATAATGTTAGCTATGTGCTTTTGTGTACATATATAATTTCATCAGTTAACAATGGTAAATCACTTTCTGACTTAAATATTTTTTCCTTAATTGCTGTTTTTAATATGATGATATTTCCTCTAGGAATTTTACCTTGGTGTATAAATTCTGGATCATTAGCCTATGTGTCATTTAAAAGAATTTCCAAATTTCTCTAATAACAGGAGATTGATCCTGATGATCGATTCTAGTTACCTTATTCAAAAGAAGGAGATGTCATATTAATAGAAGGTTTATTATGTGAATGGCCAATCGAACATATCCAATAAAACAATAAAGATTATAAAAAGAATTAAATTTTTGATAATGTACTTGTATTTAATTAAACTGATGAAAATTCATAATTTCAATTGAGAATTGATGAATTAAAGATTGAGAGAAACACTTTGAATTTTGTTATTGGAAAAATTGGATCTGGCAAGAGTGCTTTATTCAATGCTATTTTGAATGAATTATAAAAATATAACCAATATGAAGGAAAGTAAAATGGTATTTCAATCAGATCCGATTCATTACTTTCAGGATAAAGAATGTTAACTATCAGTGACTAAATTATTATTAAAGGTAATATAGGATATTGTTCCTAAACAACTTGGGTTTAGAATATGAGTATTCGTGACAATATATTGTTTGGATTGCCTTTCAATTAAAGTTTATATAATGAAGTGATAGATGTTTGTGAAATAAGAAAAGATATCATGACTTTTGAGAAATAAGATTTTCATGAAATCGGACCTGATGGTAAGAATTTAAGTGGAGGATAGAAACAAAGAATCACTCTAGCCAGAGCTTTATATTAAAACTGCGATATATATTTATTTGATGATATATTTTCATCTTTGGATATTCATGTAGCAGACTAAATATTTTAGAAAACCATATTGTAATTCTTAATCAATAAAGGAAAAACAGTACTAATGATTACTTCTCATTATCGTTATTTAAATTAAGTGCCTTCAACAGTGAAATCAAAAATAATCTATATTGAAAATGGATAAATAATAAATGATATAAATCAAATCAATGAATACTTGCAAAAAGAATAAGAACCAGAAGAGGATGAACCAAATATTGAAGAAGAATTAGAAGAAGTAATACCAGAATTGATTAAATAATAATCTTCTAAGAAATCTGAAAAAGAATAGTTTTAACAAAAAGTTGAAGTGGATGAATCTTAAAATTAAGAATAAAGAGAATAAGGTAAGATTAATATGAATACTTGGTTAACCTATTTTAGTAGTATGAGTTGGTTCCTTTTAATTGGATGGGTACTTGTGAATTTCTTTATGCAAGGATCAATGTCATTAATTGACTTCTGGTTAAAATCTGAATTGAAAGGAGACGATACTTGGTTACATCAAATTACAGTTTATTATAATAATTCTTTTACTGATGCATTACTATATCTCACTTTATTTGCCTTATTAGTTACATTTGTTAGAGCTGTTTTATATGTTTCTACTGCATTGAGGGCAGCTTGGGTTCTTTTTGTAAAGTAAATTTATTTTATATTTAAGGTTGAATAAAGTATTAATATCATCTGTAATGAAATTTTATGATAAAACTAATGCAGGTAGGATTATTAATAGAATTTAAGATGACACTTAAACAATAGATGATGATTTAAGTTGGACCTTTCATTGTTTCTTAGAAAATGTTAGTAGAGTAACTGGCTTATCTATAGGTTTAATTATACTAGAACCTATATTTGTATTAATATTAATTGGAGTTATTTCTCTTTATTATTAAGTTAGTAAAACCTACATCAAATCAAATAGAGAAATAAAAAGATTAAAATCAGTCAACCAAGGATCATTACTTTAAATTGTAAATGAAACTCTTACTGGAATTAAAGTGATTAGAGCATTTGATAGAAATTCTTAATTCTGTTAAACATTTCAAAATAAATTGTATAATTGGGTGATGACTGATTAATGTGGAGAAAGATCTAAATTATGGTTTGGAGTCAGATTAAATCTAATGAGTAATTTAATTCTTATTTGTGTATCAAGTTTTGTTATCCTAACAATTATTCTTGATTTTTCAGATGATTATACTGTTTAAGCTTTAGCAATTACTTATTCAATGGTAGTATTAGATAGCTTTTATGATTTATTTTCTTTATATTTAAGAATGGAATCTGGAATCGTTTCTGTAGAAAGAGTTAAATAATATTTTAGTAATGAAACAGAGAATATTGATCAAGTTTAAATATTGCCAAAGGTTGATTTATAAATCTGGTAAGATGTTGAAGAATTTACTGAATACAGAATAGAAAATGCAATAACTTTTAAAAATATATTTTTAACTTATGAGAACGTTTCGGCTGAATCTAAATTTGCTTTAAAAAACTTTTCCTTGACAATTAAAAAAGGATAAAAAGTTGCATTTGTTGGAAGAACAGGATCTGGAAAAACCTCTATCTTAAATATATTATTTGGCCTTTATCATCATTAATATGGAAAGATTTTTATAAATGGAATGGATGTAATTTAATTTTTTATTTATTAGACTTCAAATTTAACATTAAGAGAATTAAGATCTCAATTATCAGTAGTACCTCAATTTGGATTTTTATATAATTCAAGTGTGAAAGATAATTTAGATCCATAAAATAAAACAACTAAAGAAGCTATTGAAAAATTATTTATTGAAACAGGATTTCAATTAAGAGGAATTAATAATATAAACAGCAATTCTTGTAATGCAGATTTTGTAATATCACAAAATGGATCTAATCTCTCAAATGGAGAAAAATAAGTTCTCAATTTTTTGAGAATAGTTCTTATGAATAAAGAAATAATTTGTTTAGATGAAGCTACTTCAAATATGGATCCACAAACAGATTAAGTATATCTTTTTATATTTATTTGTTAGTTATTGCATGATTTATTGTTCAAATTTGCTGAAAATAGAACTTTATTGGTTATAACTCATAGACTAGAAAATATTAAAATTTATGATAAGATTATAGTCATGGAATAAGGAGAAATAGTAGAATAAGGAGAATACTAAGATTTAATTAAGATTGAGGGTGGATTTTTCAATAAATTAATTATTCATCATTAGAAACAAATAAAAAATTGATTTTTCTATTAAATAGTAATTTTGGTTTATATTTCATAATCAAAATATATTCCTTAAATATATTATCTTTTCGAATTCCAGATGTATTAAGAGAATGAAAATGAAGATTAATTATTTGAATCAAATCAGTATAGACACGATTCATCGAGAAATTAATATGGAGAATCAGCTTAAGTCAATTATAGCTAAAACAACTAGTACTAAAACAATTAATAGTCTTAAATAATGAAAATAAACAATGAATAACTACCCTTTAATTTAGCAGTAAAACGTTAAAATATTAGTAGGATCTTCCTAATCCATCAGCTGATGGTATTGTCGATCACCTAAAGAATACTTTCAACTAAAAGTAAATTTATATAGAATTCGGATACAAAACTTTAGTATCGCTCAATCCATATGAAGACACTGGCCATTTGGGTGATTGTTAAATTTAAAATTGGAAAAATAAATTCCTTCAAAAAAGTTAAATTATTAATTTAATATTAATAGATGATCCTTAATATTTTCCATCACATATCTATAAAGTAGCTTAACTTGCTTTTTAGTCCTGCTTTTCAGAGAATAATGAATACAAAACATCATCTATTATAGCCTAAGGAATTAGTGGATCAGGTAAAACAGAAGCTACTAAAAGTATTATAAGCTACATAGCAGCTGAATCTGAAAGTGGATCATTTAAATCTAAAAACCTTCAAAAAGCAGAGATTGAAGAAAGATTAGTTTCTTCGAGTCTCATTTTTGAAGCTTTCGGAAATGCAAAGACTAAAACAAACCCTAATTCATCTAGGTTTGGAGAAATTGTTTCAGTTCAATTTAATAAATAAGAAAAATTAGTTGGTGCAAATATTTCTACCACACTATTTGAAAGAATTCGAGTCACATAAAAAGGTTATATGGATAGAAACTATCATATATTCTATTAACTAAAAGCTGCTTATTAGAGAATTCAAGAATTAAGTAAAAATAATCTAAAACATAATAGAAAATTTTGCTTCACAAGTGTAAATTAATTATAACATTCTTAAATTAGTAGAGGAAATTAAAAGCTTTTAACTTGATTCTGAATTCCTACTTTTGAGTATTCAAACTTAACATACATCAAGTTTTGATGAATTATCTATCCAATAAAAAGAGAAAAAACAAGCTGATTTAGATTTTGAAAATTTCAAAGAACTTCTATAATCTTTTGGAACTCTTAACTTTAGTTTAGAAGATATTATAAATATACTTTAATGTGTTGCTGGGCTTATTCATTTAAAAGAAGATAATTATGAAAAAGCTGAGTAATTATTAAAAATACCAAATCTCAAAGAAACCATAAATTCTAACATTACTAACTAATTTTAAAGTAAAAAACTGTAAGCCGAATCTATCATTAATGGCATAATTATGGATTTCTATTATAAACTGTTTATTTGGATTCAAAATAAAGTCAATTAAGATCTTTCTAAAGAGTATAATCCAAATAAGAAATTTATAATAAATTTTTTTGATAGCTTTGGATTTGAGGTCATCGAAAATGAATTAGGAATTTAACAAAATCAATTAGAATAGTTGATACTCAACTATATTAATGAAAAGTTATAGAATTATTTTTACATTCAAGTTATTCAAAATTCAGCAGGTAATTCTATATTATTCATCTTTAGAAATATTTACTTCTGAAAATCTATAACCAATTTCTGCTGATTTTGAGAAAAATGATAGAATAATCACATTGATAGAAGATGTATTCTTTACAAGTTTAAGGGATTGTCATCTATTATAAAGAAATACTGAAAATTTAAAAGAAATAATTATAAAAAAGTCTTATGAAAATTGTCTTCAAGCTTATTTGATAGATGAAAATTAGTTGAAGACAAAAAAACAAAACTTAACAAAAAGTTAAAATAAACACAAATTTGAATAAAATATATTAGGTATCAGACATACAGGAGGAGAAGTTTATTATTAAATGGAGGGTTTTTTAACTCGAAATAAATATAGTGTAAGTGAGAATCTATAAAATATAAATAAAATAAGTTAGAATTCAATAATTAATAAGTTCGAACTATAATCTTAAAATCAAACTGTATCTGATCATACTTTGATAGTTACTAAAGAGATGATTTAAAGTTTTAAATAATCTGATACATGGTTTATAAAATGTTTGTAAACTAATAATTTATGGCAACCAAATTTTTTTGATCAAAATTGCATATTAACACAATTAAAATAAAGTGGAATAGATTAGATTATGTAGTTTTAATCTTAAACTTATTACTTAAGTATACCTAATTAAGAATTTTTTGATAATTATCGAAGTCTTTGTTCTGATATAGATAATGAATAGAACTTGATAGTGTACTTAAATTAATAATATAAAGATTTAAATCAATAAATATATCATGGGTAAAGGAAAACTTTGATTAAAAGTAATTTTAAGAAAATACTTGATAATAGAATAGAAAATTAATAAATTTAACCTTATTTGAGAACATAAATAAATGTATAAAATTAAGAGTTATAAGATAATTACTAAAAATAACTAAAAACATTTACTGAAAAACTTAAAATTAGTGAGGAAGAGGCTAAATTTTAGAAAGAGAGAGCAGACGCTCTATAAGATAAATTAAATAAATTAGAAGAATATACTTAAAATATGCAAATCCTTTTAACTTAAATTTCAAAAGTATTTAATATGCCATAATAATAATAATAATAATAATAATAATAATAATAATAATAGTAATCATAATCATTATATTAATAATTCTAATTTGAATAATTGGTTATGATTCATGATGAAACTTTTGGTCAAAACAATAATAATCAAAACACTATTGGATAATAAAATGATGATTAAGGAAAAAATTAGGAATTCGGAAAAATTGAGTGATGTCATATTTTTGTATAAAAATATTTTCAAGTATTTTCTTAAATGTTCGAAAATATTTTATTAATTTTAATATCTATAATAATGGCATTAATTTCAAGTAAAAATATTTCAGATTTGAGAATAACCCCATTTATTGAGTTCTCATTAAGTTTATAAATTTTTTATAATTAAAAATATCTTAAGAACTATGCGTTGTGGATTTATTACCAATATCAATTAGATTTAATGATTAATTATATTGCAATGCAATCATTTTACAAGTTAGCATTCCAGACACTTTCAAATTTTCATTCTCTTGGATTAGTAAGTGATGATGAGAAGTCTTATTTGAAAGAAGTGATTTTAAATTGGTCTAATCCTTAACTCGATACTTCTTAAGATTAGATGTCAGTCTTAGTACTACAAAAAATTTAGATTTTAAGAAACCAATACTAAAAAACTAATTAAACATAGAAACTTTTGTGTTTGATAGAGGAAGAAACTGATGAAGATGAGAATATTTGAGTATATTAAATTACTTTCTTTTTTTACATTAAAAACATCCATCATTATATTCAGTTGACATTAACACTATTCAAAATTTGATAAAATAAAAAAAATTCTGAACCAAAAAGAAGGCTTTTCCTGAATTTGGACATATTAAATTGATCATAAAATTTCAAGGTTGAAATCTAATCAGAAAATTTCTATAATTTCTTTTAAAAATAATTTATAAAGTTGATAGAGGATCAAATGCTTAGATTGTTGAAGAGAGGATTCTATTTATTGGGTTTTGTGTTCAATAAAAAGTAAGAAATAAAATTTGAATATTATTTTGTTTGATCATACAACAAACAATTTTTATAGGAACAAATTATCATATTTGATTTAGATGAGCAGAAATGGAAATTTGATTGAAAGTTAGAACATTAGAATTATATATATGAACAAGAATAAATTTAGTTTGTAATTAAACATATAATACTCTTAAATCTTTATAATATTGAAAATTAAATTTTGAATCACTCTTTAATAAGTTTTTAAGCTTAAGATCGATACGAATTGGTTATAGATAAATATTTGTAATTAGAAATAATGTATAATGAGAGAATAAAATAAAAGAAGAAAATAAAGCATTATAAATGCCTATAAGATGAAATGTAAGGTTAAAATGCTTATGTAAATCTTTATAAGGCTAGAAACACTAAAAGTGAATAGAGTAATATTTTCAAGAGTTTTGTTAATAGTGATGGCTATAAATTTATAAATAATGATCTTAAGAAGAAAAATGAAACTATAAAAGTTAATACATTACTTTGTAGATAGCTTAAGTAGTAAAGATAATGAAATCATTGAAACATTTAAATAAAACAAATTTATTGGATGTTTCTCATAGCACAAACAATATTTATATAATAACAGAATACTATGATTAGCGAGATTTGAAGAGATATAAAAATTCCTATAGGTAATTCTAGATCAAATGATTATTATTTGTTATATTATTTTAAGGGTATCACTGATATTGCATANCTGAACCAAAAAGAAGGCTTTTCCTGAATTTGGACATATTAAATTGATCATAAAATTTCAAGGTTGAAATCTAATCAGAAAATTTCTATAATTTCTTTTAAAAATAATTTATAAAGTTGATAGAGGATCAAATGCTTAGATTGTTGAAGAGAGGATTCTATTTATTGGGTTTTGTGTTCAATAAAAAGTAAGAAATAAAATTTGAATATTATTTTGTTTGATCATACAACAAACAATTTTTATAGGAACAAATTATCATATTTGATTTAGATGAGCAGAAATGGAAATTTGATTGAAAGTTAGAACATTAGAATTATATATATGAACAAGAATAAATTTAGTTTGTAATTAAACATATAATACTCTTAAATCTTTATAATATTGAAAATTAAATTTTGAATCACTCTTTAATAAGTTTTTAAGCTTAAGATCGATACGAATTGGTTATAGATAAATATTTGTAATTAGAAATAATGTATAATGAGAGAATAAAATAAAAGAAGAAAATAAAGCATTATAAATGCCTATAAGATGAAATGTAAGGTTAAAATGCTTATGTAAATCTTTATAAGGCTAGAAACACTAAAAGTGAATAGAGTAATATTTTCAAGAGTTTTGTTAATAGTGATGGCTATAAATTTATAAATAATGATCTTAAGAAGAAAAATGAAACTATAAAAGTTAATACATTACTTTGTAGATAGCTTAAGTAGTAAAGATAATGAAATCATTGAAACATTTAAATAAAACAAATTTATTGGATGTTTCTCATAGCACAAACAATATTTATATAATAACAGAATACTATGATTAGCGAGATTTGAAGAGATATAAAAATTCCTATAGGTAATTCTAGATCAAATGATTATTATTTGTTATATTATTTTAAGGGTATCACTGATATTGCATATTAAGAATTCAATTTTGCTTTCTAAATATTCATAACAGAGATTTCTATTTTATTCATTGATGGCAGTAGTTGATATAAATTAGAGAATATCAAATGATATTGATCACTCTTTTTGATTTTTCATGATCAATTTAAAGATTAAAACAGGAGTTTCTTTGAATAAAGTTAAACAAACTTTCTTATATGTTCTTGGTCTTTTTGCAAGATTAATAACACCAATATTAAAAGAACAAGATTAATTGGAATCTATCAAATATAGATGGACAATTTCACAAAATTGGATGATAATTTAAAAAATGATAAACAAACTTTATTGAAATTTTTAATAAATCCTAATAATAGATTAAAGAAAATCAAAAAAAATTATATGAATTACATTTATTAAAATCCCTAGAGAAATCACTTAATTTAATATTCAAGATACCACTAAAATTTATTTAAAAGTTACCAGGTATTTTAGAAAAATATTATTTATAAATCATTTGTATTTTTTCTTGAATTAAATAAGAAAACTTTTAATTTTTATCAAAGGAAATAAAAATAATTTTATTTATAAGTCACACAAAAAATATAATAAATATTGACAATAATTAATTTTATTAAGTTTTTAGATAAAAAGAAATTTGAATTATCGTTGATAACTTAATAAAATATATTAATCTTAATTATAGAATTGATTCTAACATAATGTTTATTATTTTTATCTAAATTAGAGTTAATTAAAGATTTCGATATTGGAATTAATTATATTTAAAAATAAATAATAGAAAATGTATAATTAATAGTAATAAGGTCCTGGAAGATTAGTTTTTAGTAATCTCAAGCCTTTAGCTGCTGTAAAATACTTAAATTAAACAAACCAAAAATCTATAATTTATCCATTAAGAAAACCAAAGCCTACTGTTATAACAAATTCGATGTTCAGAAATCAACCTCTTAAAGGAGAATTATTTTTTGATCCTATTAATCATGAAGGAGGATTCCCTTTGTGTACTATATCAATGGCAGATTATAAAGAAGATGGAACATGTTAATAATGTAATAAAAAATGTAAGAATTTTAATGACTTTGATAGTCCCCTTAAAGTAATGGTATTATGATCTGACTCTCGCTACAATTATTATGTAATTCAGAAACAATCAAAACAAAAGAGATATAATAGAATGTGTCAAATATTATGATGATGGAGAATATGAAATACTTTATACAGATTATTAAGAAGCTATTGAAACAGATTAATATTTAATTGATGATCCAATTATAGATGAATTGATTAATGTTCAAAAATAAGTCTCACAAAAAGTTGGAGGCAATTAAAATGTCATTCTTGAACAAAGTCCTGATCTTATTGAAAATTTTACAAAAATTATCGAGAGTGCATTATAATAATGATAAATATTTATCAAAAATCAAATAAATTAATCAAACCTTCTTCTCCTCCTTACTTCTAATTCTGATATATCTTACTTATTAATTTGATTAAAAGATTTATCTATTTATTCTTCATCTTCTTTCAATTGATTCTTTTCAGTCTTTTGATCAAAAGTCAATTTAATTTCAAAATTATCAATATTTTATACAATATCCTTTTATTTTTGAAGTGAAATATATTCATACTCGGCTACTAATCTTAAATTATATTTTAAAAGTTTGATAGACAACCAAACATATCCTTGATTACATAAGGCTAAATATTCTAATTTAGAGTTTTTAATTCTTTTACCAACTATTTTTTGGATTTCCAATTTTTACATACTAAAAATAATGTGTAATATGATTCAAAATTAGGATTTGTTCTTGATTGAATAATGCGTGTGAATATTTATACTTACTCTAATTAAATGTTAGAAGCTATAAAACTTTAGGAATTATTTAATATAAATCAAATTAGATATGCCAACATTGTTTGAATTAATATCACCCTTTTTGATAGGAGGTATTTCAGGATGTACAGCTACAACCTTTGTACAACCTATGGATACAGTAAAAGTAAGAATTCAAGTCAGAAGTGAACTTAAAGGATAAGGTTAAGCTGTAAATATCAGCACTTTAGAAATTGTGAAGGATATTATTAAATCAGAAGGACCCTTCGGATTTTACAAAGGGTTGATATAAATAATATATTATTAGAATTGGAGCTGCTCTATTAAGATAAGTCACTTATGCTACAACTCGTTTAGGATTATATAGAGCAATAGATGATCATTATAAAAGAACACATGGTAGAAGCATGTACTTCACAGAAAGA